GGGATTCCTTATTTTCAAGGATGGGAGGGGACTAGGGCAATGGCTGACTGTTGAAAAGCAATTTATCTGCAAATTCTGTAAGTTTTAGCCATTTTAAAGCACTAAAAGGTGGAAAAAACTTGGAAAAAACTTTCTAACTTACTTCCTTATTAGGTAAGATTACCATATATGGTCAGCAAACGTTTGGCAAACGAATGAATTTTTCTCCGAAGCAATTGTTTGATATGACGCTTTATTAAATAAAGAAAAGCAAAGTGGACAGAACATAAAAACGTTTGAGGTTTTCTTACTTCGTTATCATATCCAATATGGCAACAACCTAGTTCAAAATACTTTTTTATCCCCTACTTTCATTTAGAAAAATACAGATCTCTCGAATATAGTGTATGTATGCACATAAAAGACTCTAAATAGCAAAAAACATTCGGCAAAAAAAGAAGGTTCTCAGCTTACACTTGGAAGGGACAGGAAGCCCGACAACAGGATAGGCTGCGAAGGAAACAACAAAAATGGCGATAAAATTCGATGATTCGAGTTGACACAGCGCCGAGTAATCTAGCCATGCACAAATGTTCCTTTTTTTCATTTCCAGCCTTCAATCCATGGGGGATATTTCAGAAATGGAAAGGTGAAGTTGAGGAATCCCTGGACACTAATAAACCCAATGAACACGCGGAACGCTTCGTAAAGGAAGTACAAGACAAAGGAATTGAACTCTTGAACAAACACCACGAACTTGGAAATGACGTCTGGCAAAACCGMCATGAAATACGTAACAAAGTTCACAAGGTAATSAAGGAAGTGAAGCAACGAGGTGTACACGATTTGTTGAAGAAACATGAAAAACTTGGCAAAGAATTSTGGGAAAAACGCCACGAAATAAAAGAACGTATCAAAAAGGTTTTTATCATTGCTTTTCGTCCTTTGATGGTCGCCTGTTTATTACTGTTTTACAGTGTTGATAAGGTTTCAACCCTCTTCCTCTATGTTCCTTATATTTTATCTTCGTCAGCGTAGACAGCCGTTCCTAGCTGCTCTGAGAGAGTTTGGGCCCAAAATCAATACTCCAATTTCGAGTTCTGACTTGCTCTGTGTTAGCCTCAAAACCGAGTAACATATTCTTTTGTTTCATTAATAGCGCGAGAAAACGCATGGAATTTTGTGACGAAAGACAATAAATTTGATTTGAAATCTCACACTTTTACGCTCACAATAAGGAATATTTTTCGCACAAATGAGGCTAACACAGAGCATTGGAGAATTCGAAACTGGAGTATTGGAGCGGCTAGTAACGCCTGACTATGCAGGCTACATGATATAGACTGAGCTACAAGGTGAGCTGGTAGAGCATCGGTAGTACATATCCGAGGGTCGTGGGTTCGATTCCCAGCGAAGTCGGAAATTAATTTTCCGAATTTCTTTTTCCCGAAATAACCTCCTTCTAAGCACTATAACTTTCCTTTCTTTGTATATCATGTATCTCATAGTGCCATGCGGTCCTTACATTCACATGCAGGTTATACATCACTCTTTATAATCATTTTATACGTTATATATCTGACACATGTACAGATATGTATATCAATCCCTTTTTTGCTTAGCTATGTCTGCTCACTTCTCTACACATCCTAATGGATGGGGAGTATGCTCTTTCTTTGAATTAACCAGCGCGCGTCTTTAATTTAGGTGTGGAAAAATATCATGACTGAAGAGCCCGAAGTCACCCCAACAGAACCTTACGAGCCCGATATCATCCCGACAGAACCCGAGGTTATCTCGGAAGAACCCGAGATTATCCCGACAGAACCCGAGGTTATCCCGGTAGAACCCGAAATCATCTTGAAAGAACCTGACGTTAACGCGAAAGAACAAAAAATCATTCCGGAAGAACCCGAAATCGTCCTAAAAGAACCTGAAGTTGTCGATAGAGAACCTATTAACGTCTCTGAAGAGCCTGAGCCAACTGAAAGCCCCGAGGAACCCTTTGAGCCTACCGAGAGCCCCGAGGAACCCTTTGAGCCAACCGAGAGCCCCGAGGAACCCTTTGAGCCAACCGAGAGCCCCGAGGAACCCTTTGAGCCAACCGAGAGCCCCGAGGAACCTTATGAACCAACTGACGAGCCAGAAGAACCAACTGAGAACTACGAAGAGCCATCCACCCCTGAAAAGCCTGAAGTACCAGCCACAGAATTCCCTGAGGAGGTCGAGCCCACAGAAGCTCCAGAGGTAAATAATGAGCAACCCAAAAAAGAACTTATCGTGGAACCCATTGAAGGTGATAACAATGAAGAAGAAGATGAGGAGGAGGAAGAAGGCTTCGATCCTATGGTTGACGACGTGGATGACGACAGTGATTATGACAACCAATCAAATGAGGAAGAAGTTGCACCAGTGACGAAAGAACCAATCACCGAAGAAGTTCAATCACAAGCTGATATTGCTTTCTTGCCTAAAGAATCCTGGGTAGAGTTAAAGGAAGAGGCCTCTCAACGTCGTAAATGGCTAAGAAAACGTCAACACAAGCTGAAAAAACTCTGGAAGAAGTTTAACTCCAAGCATACCGAGAAATTGTTTAAAAAGATAAGAAAAATGGAGCGTCATATTTCCTTAAAGAGAGAGGAATAGACTATCTTTATATATTGCTTTTTAATGCACAATGTATAACTTGCATTATTTTCTTCTTTTGTTGCCGTTTTATATATTGATACTTGACGTATTTTGATTTACACTGATGTCTGTTCAACTTATTTTTGTACTATTCGTTCACTATTGCTTTTGTAACCTAGTATCCCAGTGTGATATTATTCAATGATGGTATTGTGGAAATAAAGACGTTCAACATGAGACCAAAAAGCGTTCCCTTTGGCACACTGGGTGGTGCTGATGCAAACTGAGAATTTTTCAATGTTAGAATACACACATAAAGAGACTATCCAACCTACATATCCGATCTGAACGGATCAATATGTGTACATCTTTTATTTGAACTGAATAACTTTGAACGCACTGAAAAAAAACTTCCGCACAAGTGAATTGAATTCCCGCAACTTACGATTAGTCTCACGACCATACCAAGACATTGWGAATTGACAAATTAAAATGGGCAATGTTGAAGCCGCTCAGTACTACCCAAGAATTAACTTAATAATTCAAAGACAATCTAGCGTTCCTAGTTAATGTTGACTTTCGCCATTTTCTTGTATTCCTATGTTAATCCTCAAAAGTGCTATTAAAGACAAATCAGTTTACAGAGAAAGCAAAATAAGTCAAACAAAGATTTTATTAGATTTGTGAATGTAAACCTTTAGTTTTAAAAGATCCAAGGTTTAATATAATATTCTATAAAACTTCAAAATGACATTGAATTGCCATTATCGGTATTTCAATTAAATGTGTTTTGGTGCACTTTGGGGTTTTCTTTCAACTCGTCGAAATTACTCGTATTATTATTGTTGTAGTTTGTCCGTCGTGGGTTGTATTTGAGAAAGTGCTGATTTAATGAATACACGACGATATTAAGGTATTATTTGATCAAGTCAATCTTCCCGAAAAGAGTGTTTACAGCTGTTGAGACTTTGATTTCCTATCAGTGAACTTCATTAAATTATTTGTTATTCTAGCCAAGATTAAACTCCTTTTGAAGGCCGCTGTTGAGTTGAGAGGTATTCAATATGAGACTGTGATAATCATTTGCTTTTTCCCTTTCAAAAGGAGCCGTATTTTGTAACGTTGTGTTTAATTTGTGGTCCGGAAAAATCACGTACTGTATAGAATTCAAAACGGAAAGGAAGTTGAATAGTTTTCACACATGCAATGAAATTGAGCTAGACCTATTTAATTATATGCCAAAGTTATGGATATAGAATAGGAAAAAACCTTGGAAATCAATGGTCTATCTTATCTTAGATTTATGAGAATTCTTGAAAAATTAAACTGCTCGAAATAATTGAGATTTTCCTTTGAGCAGTAGGAAGCCCGGTTATTCCTATCAGAGTCTTCTATAAACTATATTTTGRATTATTATATTAAGTAAGACCGCTAGGGGATTTTCCGGAAGGTAGGGTATGGTTTTTGGCCTTCGTGTCTTGAATAGAACATACAATTGACATTCTATGTTTTCTATGTCTCATTCTTTCTATTAGACTAGTCAAAACGAAAAAAATGTCATATTGACGTCTTTGAGGGAACACTACCTGGTTTTATATCTTCATTTTACCAATTTGCTTAAATAGGGTACGGAATTTCAGGATTTTGCTCTTTTGCTCTCTTGAATAGGGTTTACAGGTGACAGCGGAACGTCCCCGTTTGAATCTGGATCAAGTCCCACCTCCTTCTCCCCTTTTATCTTAAGAGCACGCATTACTATAAGAACACAATAGCCTGAACACCAAAAATGTCTGCCAGGTCTAACTGTATTTCCAATAGCATCCTCTCTTCCCTGATGCTGTCATATGTCGATTATTATAATTGTAATAAAATTGTCCTGCTACTCCCACTACCTACTAGACAAAGAGAAGGTCAAAAACTACTTGCTGTGCATGTTGCGTCAACGCAGCGGTRCAAAACCATAACTTTGCAAAGTGGTTAAGGATAAATCAAGGAAAGAATATTTAATAGATAGACTAAAGGCTAAGGAAACTGAAATATATTTATATCACATTTTTTTGAAATCACATGATTTTTGAACTCTTAAAAACGGCCTCCTTTCCCCCGGATCTGCGCTTGCGTCGTCGTGTTTGAAGAGAACTCCTCATAAACCTCTCTTTCAGATTCTTGGCAATGTGGACGTATACTAAAAACAGTATCAAAACTTTTATTTATATATATATATATATTTCATTTCTTATAATATCATCATTAGCTATCATTATTATTAATCATTATCATAACCCTTAGTATTATTACTGCCATCAATTCTGATGATACTGGTGGGTTCGAAATCCCAGCAAGGTCGGAAATTGATTTTTCCAAATATATTTGACCATATTTCCACTACCAGGCACTATAGGTTCTTTTCGCTCAGAATAAAACTTTTTACTGTCTACAATAAAATTAAGACTATAAATTATTATTTACAATATGTGCAAAAAGAAAAATGTAACGTTTTCGACTACGAAGCCATCATAAGAATATCTACTATGTCTATTTCATGTATTTCCTAGTGCTAGGCGGCCACATATTCAAATCTCATTATGATCTAAAGTTCAAGTCTAATTTGTGATATATGATGTAGTGTCGTTATAGTCGTTAGCTACTGACATCGACAAACAACTACCCAGACAAATAAAAGTTGAATGATCAACAAGAACTCTGGTCGCTATGTGGCATGGCTCTAAGTTGCCATAGCDAAATACTCCAGTTATACAAAAGTGCCGTGCAGTGCTTTTAGTGTCATCTTTCTGTCAATAACATTGAGCATTTTAATGTACGAGTCCATATGAAACTCAACAAGGCTTAGTTCCGTGTTAGTGAGGGTCTTTTTCAGTAATTTTGATATAATATCAGGGCGGATATTTAATGATATGAGAAGCATTTCAAGTGCGTAAGCAATACCAAGTTGAATAGAATTGTGGTTGTGTTTAGATCACAACGATTAATGATGCTTTTGTGCAGTTATTCATAGTGGTCTGTTTGAAGTGTTCTGAATTGTCCTGTGCTTTGATCCTGTTAAAAACGTTTCCGTTTAATTGAAATAAAAGCCTTGATCATATATGTGTGTAATATAAATCAGTTTTTAAATCTGCTATTGATCCTTTTTCACTTTATTTTTTTCTTTCATTTTGCTTTGCGTTCTATCTTTTTTTCTACATCAATCAAGCTTCAGCCGATGTTTTCTTTTACTCAGCTTTTTGTTTTTTTTTCATCACGTTTCTAGTTCATTTTCTTTTTTTTAATGCACCTTCCTATCTCTTTATTTCTTCTTTTCCTTCAGACCTGCCGCTCTCTTTCGTATAGAGTTACGTAAAAGTTTCTACCGTTTTATATTCATGTAATTCAAGTCATTAGTTGCAGCTCAATCGTTCTTTGGTGTCACATTAAATTAAATCAGTAAGTCAAATTTACTGTTAATGCTTGTATTAGAAGTGCTAAAACCTCAATTATACCAAATCAATATTGCATGGGATAACACGAGCCATACTCTGCATTTATACTAGGCACATAGTTAACTATGCTAAGCGTAAAGCTGAAAGCTTAACAGAAAACCCTACTTTTTTGGATACTGTTCAATATTTTTCGATTCACATGAAGGATATATACAGACACCTGTTTTTTCTTCTTTTCCGACAACTCATTTAYGCGAATCTACTATATCAAATGAAATACTATATTCTCACTTTTAGGCTTTCTACTCTTTTTATTTTCTTTTATTTAAGCCGTAATGCGTTTTCTAATCAGGGTAGTAATGTATTAGACTATTGTGTTACAYCTGTTTGCAGTCATAACATTCTTRTTTTTAGTCAGATCCCAAAAAATATTAATGCGGAAAAATGAGGATACAAAATTACAAAMTATTGRATRCAACTCTCTTTCTGCGGTATGGGACTTTTCTCTGCACATCTACCGCTTCATTTTTTTTTATTTTGCGACGATAAGACGTTAGTACCAGAACAACATATTGTATTATACATAAAAGACTTAATTTCCTTCTCCAATCTTAAGATTAACAAAATTAAATATTCATTGCCGGCAACAAATAAAAGAAACTAAGAGAACCCACTTGACTATTATTGCACCAATGTCAATTTATATTAARACAYCGTGGTTGACACTGTAGAAACAGTTCTTATGCGAGRGGCTTTCATTTTGCTCGACTGACAGACCAGAAATTGACCATATATAGAGGTGTTATATATCATATCCATGCGCAAGCTGTCATGTGACGCGAACGCGCACTTTAAAATCTCTGTCCTTGGTAACTTATGTGATTTTGATGTCCAAGCGTCGTGTCGAATGAGGACCTACATTACCRCACAATGTCGAATTATTACATGTTTTACGATGGATATTTTCTCAGTCCTAATCTTCCAATGGCTATTATATACATCATATTTGGTCTATATACTGTTATAGGAAATCTATTAGTGTGTTATGTATTCATCAAGGACCCTGGTAGAGATCTAAGAAGAACTTCAAACTTTTTTGTTATCAATCTAAGCATGGCTGATATTCTTGTTGGTATAACAGTTGAGCCTATTAACGCTGCGAGTTATTGGACGAAGAATAATGAAATTCTCTTTGTATATTATGTATTTGCTTGTCTTTCTTGTATTTGTTCTATCCTGAACATCTGTGCTTTGATGGTCGATCGTTGGATCGCGGTTAGCTTCCCGTTCAAATACAGATCCTTGGTCACGGCGAATCGCGTTCGCACGTCATGTGTCGTTATCTGGTTGGTATCCACACATTTTGGACTCCTACCCATCATAGGATGGCGATCAGAAAGCTTCCAAGTGTACTTGTACACTTTTGGTGTTCTGACTCCAACAATTATAATGCTTTGTGCTTATTATGGACTGCGAAGAATCCTAAAAAAACAGGTTGAGAATTTGAAAAACATTGCTGATTCTAAAGAAACTGCTTTTACTAAACGAGGCGTGGAACGAGAGAAACGCATTTCAACAACTGTCTTCATCATGCTTGTGGTATTTTTAACTGCATGGTTTCCCTTTGTTATTGTAGATTTTCTTTTAGTTTTTGGGTCRACAAGTCAGAATCCAAAAGTACGTCTTGCTAGAGACATAACATTGAGTTTAGGATTCTTTTCGTCTGGTATTAACCCTGTACTGTACGCTTGGAGAATTCCTAATTTTAGAAGGGGATTATTAACTGTCTTTGGSATCAAACGAGGAAAGAGAATAGGTATCGCGCCTTTTCCSTTGCCGGGCGCGCAGTCGTCTTCTCTGAACTTCAGCGTTCCTGGGTTTATGTCAAGGCGAAGCGTGGAACTCGATAAAATCATTACTCGGCAAAGAATTGACGACCATTGAATAATTKTTATATTCTCATAAAATACTGCATGTACAGATAATTTTTACAGATAAATTGATTCAATTATCAAAATGAAAACAGGACGTACRATGTGTACATGACATATTTGAATTTGATTTTAATCTGACAAACTTCGACGTGTCGACATCCCGCTCCACTCCGTGACTTTCCAAATTGCTATGGCAACTCTCACGTATGACACAAACTACAAACAACTGCTCAAAAAAAMCCATCRGAATCATCACTATAGAAGAMAAATATCCCTTCACGACCACAACATTCAGACTTCTCTTGAATTAATACCACTTCAAAATTTACTAAGTACGATAAAGGGATTTATTTTAAGGGCGTTAGTTGTAACACAAAAAAGCAATTTTGTGCACAAAATGAATGATATAAAGTCAGGACTATAAACATTGTATAAGGCATGCGTGTAACAAAGGACACACTMTTATGACGTAAATAAGTGGGAAACAAGCTTGGAACAAATAACGGAACAACATGTGGCTTGCTAAAGCTGACGGAAAAAAATAATATCACAAATATATATCACCAAAAGATTACTTTTACTAAATCCATTTTCATTGAGCTTTCTGTTATTTATTTGTTTTGAATATTGATTAAAATTTTATAAACAAAAATGTGTTTACAGTTGCTTCAATGAAATGGAAATAAAGCTAATATATTCGCCCAATTAGCGTCGCATTATGGACAATTTCCAACATGGATTTATYACAGAATCTAATTTCTAATCTTATTTGATTTAATTACTTTTTTTGCGCAATTAAAGAAGATGTCACCATTATCACTTTTCGAATGTTAGCTTTTCTTATATAAAAGTGTTGCCCCAATCGTTCTCTTTAATATTTCAAAACCATCTTAAACTAATTCAGTTTGGTAATTCATTAATAATTCACAAATCGTTGAATATTTCCCATGTTTTTTTCGCTTTTAAAAGTGAGATTAAGAGYGAGATTTTTTAGACAATGGCTGAAATTAGAAACAATATTCTAATGGCAAAATATAATGTTCATATCATTGTGTAGTCTCTAGTAAAGTTTACACACAATGAAATCCTTTTGAATTATCATTATAAATGTGTTAAACAAAGTGGAATTAATTTTCACGATCTCCTACTGATTATTTATAAATAAAAGTTTAACAAAAAATTAAGACTAAACTTCACGCAGCGCAATTCAATTATGGTATTTCAAATAAAAGAAAACGTAATGTACGACTGTAAGTACAAAAATGGCGGTAGTCTAGCGGTAGTACTTTGTTGAACAGATCTTCTTTCAAAAGTAATAATGTCTGTTTTGATCATTAGCTTTAGCTTGCCGCGAAAGGCTAAAATGCATTGCATTTTTTTGCAACTAAAAACATTTTTTGAAACTAAAAATTGTGCGAAGTGTGCCGGGTCTAAAAGGGAAGTTTGTGAAAGTCTACAAAATTCTTTAATTTAATGTGAGTGGAAATAGGTGAAATATGATTTATTTATATCAATGCAAAGACGGACAAGAATTGCAGCTTCAGTTTTGTGTCAAAAATTGTAATCTGTGCATGTCCAACGATTTTAACCAGCAAGAGGCTAAAAAGCTTGTCAAGACAGAAAGACATTTTGACATCAATACTTTGTAAAGAGGTTTGCATCTATCACTTTCACAAGACTTCTCGTCAGTTTCCAAACTACTTATACAAAATGACAGCATTGTAAACAACATCATGTGAAATGGGTGTTTTTTTCGTTTGTTTTTATCAACTGAAATTTTGGTGACTGTAATTTTAGACAGGACAATATTTTTGGGATTATAGTTTTTAGTAGTACAGCTTTGTATGCAAGGAATATTGTTATTTGAATCTTTCTTTTTTACCTTCACAAACAATTTCGATAATGTTCAACCATGGTCTACTGAGTTCGTTGGTCACGATTATAGAAAATTAATGACGCTCACGTTTTACATCTCTTTGACGCACTTATTATTATATACATTATAAGCATATTTAGACACGATTCAGTGGCGCAAAGAAAGTAAAAACAAGAAATAATGGAAATTAGCGGTAAACTAGTGTGAGCTGCTTCGGTGCCTTTTGTGAGACAATTGTGAAATAAGATAAATTTTAACACCGTAAACAAGAAATAAGCGCAACGGAATCAAAAACACAGAAAGGAGAAGAAGAAGGAGAAGTACAAGAGAACTCTCACAAAAAAGTTAGGGGACAATTGCTCGTTTTTTATTCCCATGAGATTGAAAAGATAAAAGACCGGCGGCCATTTTGGAGAAATGAAGAATAGATACTAAAGAGAAATCGCTTGTTGAAGTTCCTCGAAGATGGCCGCTGTGACCATAATGCTGTGACGCATAGAAGAAACGAAGAATTGTCTTGATACCTTGGCTAAAATTGAAAGATGAAATTGGAAAGAGACAGTGAACGAGATTGAGCCTACCTTTCCATAAAATACATGATCTTAATTACAATACAATGCAATAAAAAGCTACTTTTCTAAGTACTGACTCTCATTAGTATGTCAGCGTCGCTCTCCAAAATATGAAGTCTGAGTGTCTTATTATTTTTGACTTTCTAGTAATTCTTGAGGACATTTTATCAGCTGGGCGGATGTACGTTTTTTTATGAGAACTAAATGGCATGTACAAACCGTTGGACGTCACTCAAAACGTTAAGCCAGTAGAAACACTAGTTTGCTATTTAAAGATAACTTAACCAAAATATCCCCAGGCTAAATTGTTGGTTTTCAGTCGAAGTACCGGTTCAATTACGTACCTCACCTGCTTTTCGCCTTTTTTTTATCAACTTTGATAATTATAGCGCGACTATCAATTAAGTATTAGAAGATATTTCCTGTGTTTCCATCCACTGTTAGAAAAATAGCGCTATAGATCCCTTGCAGTTCATGGGAATGCAGCTCCAACTGGAGGACAAAACAATAGATTCTAGTTCCCAAGAGGATAAAAATCTTTTGTTTTGTCCTCCAGATGAAGCTGCTTTGACGTCACATGCAAAGGGTCTATTTCAAAAAGTTGTCAGAGCGTAACGACGATTTCACGACCGAAAGTCAATGTGGGTACTCCGTTTTCGAGGGAAAATAATCACTCATCTGTTTTAAGACATTGGCAAACCAAACATATTACCTTTGAAAATCTTTATTTGATGATGTGACGACATTATTACTGCATCTCATGAGTGAATATTACTAGCCCACAGTAACTTTCTGTGGTGGATTTGCTATTCGCAGTGACAACCTATTTTAAAATAGCTAAATTCGTGGGTGTCACGAGAAAGGCTTTGAATCACGAGCTGATAGCGATTTCTATTCTCTTTTAAGTCCCGTTTATACTGGGCGATTTTTGCGAGGATTTTGTTCCTATAGAATAATGCTAAAGAATAAAATAAACTTTTATTCAATAGACTAAGATGAGCTAACTAAACGTCTCCTCAGAATGGTAAGACAAAATAAATTATCTGATTTTTGTACATCGCTCGAAAAATTGCAGCAAAAATCGCCAGTGTGAACGCGCCTTTAGAAACGCGGTTTGTAGTTTTCCGCAAACAATCAATGCGCGCGTTACATAGCAGTTATTTTATTAATTTATATCATTACGTAGAAGTTCTAAATAACTATAGAAACAATGGAAACTTCCCTAATAATGACCTTGACTGTTGCTATGGGAATATGCATATTCTATTTCTATAAAAAGAGAAGTCAGGTTCTGATGGGAATTCATTGAAAGTGTTTATTTTTTCTGAATCAGTTTATTTAGAGTAGGGTAACTTATCATCACTTCGCTCGGCTCGTGATATTTCCGCGTAAAAAGCATGAAGTTGTCAAAATACTACGTTTTTCATGAGTAGAATGGGAAGTTGGATCATTGTATAGTTGCTGGTATCTTGGCACGCATCACGTATATTCAAACGCAAAAAGACCATAATGATTGCGCTATTCTTGACTTTCACTGATCACGTGATAGTCTCAAAAAGCTATTTAGAGGCAAAATTAGCAACCTTTTATTATTTTCCTCGAGAGAAAACTTAATTAAAGGATCACTACGAATTTTCGAGCTAAAATAATGATTTTTAACAGAAATACGATCGATTGAAAATTGGTAAGAATGTATGGGATTATCACCCTCAATGCGTTTTAGGTTGGTCAAGAAATACCTACAAAAAGCTTTGTTTTAAGATTCAAATGAATTTTTTAAGTCCAAGGACCAAAAAAGCATATAACTCCCAACAGTTAAGCAAAGTTTGAATCCAAAATGTGATTTTGTAGCAAAATAAGCGTTTGATTACGGTCTTACTTTACAGAGAAATGTATGGGACAGTGCCCTAGTCTGAGACATGAACATGGCGGACCGCCGTAGCTCCGACTATTGAATTGAGCTCAAAATTAATGATTTTGCTTTACCTTTACAACAATGTCATTGTAAACATTTAATGTGATGCTGAGATTATATTTGTTCTAAGATTAATAGGCTTTTCGAGTATTTTTTGCGTGTATCAAATCGAGTAACATTATTGCGTGCCTTTTTTTGAAAGTTAATAACTCAACGAATAAACAGCAAAAAAGTTTAAACATTCAGAGAGAACTTCTATCATTCTCTTCAAGATATTTCAGTACTACAATGTTGTGTGTCTGTGATTTTAGAATTTTTTCGACTGATGACGTCATGTGAAAGTCGAGAATTACGTAAATTTAACGATTCTCTGAGGGACTGGAATTCAACGGCACACTGATGACGTCCACACGGATCACATAAGATCTTTCAGGGGCGGACCATTTCTTGTTTTTTTTTTTAATGAACAGTTCCCATTTTTCATTTTCCCTGAAGAAATACTCGAATTCTTAATGTAGATTTTTGATTTTACAGATTTAGTGAGAAGAATTACTAGGACTACTACATGCACTAATATATCATATTTTCCTCTAGATTTTTCCAGAGCACGAGTCATTTTATTGAAACGGTTGTAATGTTTCTCGTTTTATTTAGTGTTTCACACAACAAAAAGTTTCAATTGGACAAGATAGTTTTTTTGTTCGTTTTTCATAACTCAATTAATCAGATAAGTGTCCATCACTAAGAGCGACAAAGTAAAACATGCATTATCCCAGTCTTTTCTAATGACAAGATTATCAATATGATAAGTAATAGTATAGGCCCAAGGGCATCATTGAAGCTTCCCAAACAGTGGTATACGAAATGGACTACGCCAAAAATATGGCTGGGGAAGGATTCCACACAAGGAACACATTCTAACTGCGTCTTAGCTATAATATATACTAGCGAGAGATCTCACTTAAAGGTTAATGATCAATTTTTTCATATATATATCGAGCTAGCTAGCGCGCGTTTTCTATAATTTTGGTGGATTCGATCCATTTCAAGTTTCTTTTAACTATGTAGCATTTCAACTTCTAAATGGTATTGGAATCGTTGTCACACTACTGTACAAATATGTAACATATCGAAGAATTCCTATTCGCTTGACCATAACCATTTATATCCATAACTACGTATCCACAAGAGATTCTTAGGTTTGTTTCATCTGCAAACCACTTATCAAATAAACCTACACCAATAAGATAATTCAAAGACATCCGCTGCAGAACGATATAGCCAAACACGCCCAGTCGGGCAGATTCTTTATGCTCACTCGCACTAATCACATTGATGCCTTCAACGTCACTTCTGTTTATGGCTAATCTGGGAGCAAAGGCTGTTCTCCATGCTTGTACACCGAGCGGTTGAAATGGTTTGCTATCATTGCCTGTCATGACGTCAAACAAAGAGGTTGCGTTGTTGTTCAGCTCCAGTTTTAGCCACTTTGCTAATGACGCAGACTGGCCTGGCTGCTTCACACCAATACATATTTGAGTCAGCGGTGTTGACCAATATGTTGGTAGAACTGTAGAGACGTCATCGAGATAGAGGCCTCTCTCCACATTAAGCGACGTCTTGTTTGTCCAGTATCCACTAGAATAGCCCAGTTCTCTCTAAAAGAATGGGAATTAGATTCCGTATGTTTTATAGTATAGCTGGTAATTTTACTATACGCCTATAAGTTGTTTGTTTTTAGTAATTTTTACTATAAAATTTATTACGACAAGAAAACTAGACTTCTCGGTCCATCGTGCACTATTTTCAAAAGTGATTATTCTGAGTAGTTCGTAGTTTGAGTCTACAAATTTGAATATTGAGGCTCTAGGACATTGTTATTGTGTTCATATTTGAACGAATGGAATCTGCTTGTGTGTAGCCAATGCGCAAATCCGCTTGTACTTGGGTTTGTCATATATGACGCAGTTGATCTATTGCAGTGTATGAAACAACGTCAACCTTCGGATTGAGGTTAGCGTACATGGGATTTTCGACGTAAGAGCCAGTGGAATTCCGTACGATGCAATTTACAGTTTGATCGGTGTTACCACTGCAACGATCAAAGCTTTTCACATTTGCCACTGAGAAATATCTTGAGACTGTGTCTTTTGCCAATTACTTGAAACAGTTAACATTTTGATCTTTTAAGAAATACTTGGTATTGTTTTTTAATAATTTGAAGCTAATGATCCCAGTGCGTGCCAGTTATTTTGAGAGATATTCGGGGGAAAACTCGTTCTCAAAAAAAAAAAAAAAAAAAAAAAACTCTGGTATTTGGTATCAAAAAAATTGGTATCGTTGATTGAAATGGTAATGCCAATCAAGCAGTAATATGTCATTATACACATTCATCTCATTTCTTAACTGACCCAAAAATTAAGTACAGAGGTTCAGGGCTATAATTAATCTGAATGAAAATGCAAGGTATGGTCGAGATAACATGACATATTGTCATTGATATTGAGATCAAACGGCAAAAAATTATTCGCGCTGAATCGCCTGCGATGCACAGAAATGGAAAACATGACAAATAAAAAGAGCAGGACAATTCAATCTCGAGCCCAGAGTCTTCACGGCTAATGTCAGCGGTATGATGACGCCGGAAAGACTCTGGAGGAATCGACTGGATTTGCGACGCTTTTCCGTCGTAAATTATGCAAATTAGTTCAGTTTTGTTTTTGCCGCTTTGGAGCATCCAAATGATAAAAGGAAGTTTAGCACACAACTTAGTTAAGAAAAGGTATTTACACCTTTTTAAAAACACAAATGTGTGAAAACATGTGTGGTTATGCGAGAAAAGGTTGATTTTCTTGACTAACAGGGCGAGCGCGCGCTGGCGACTTGAAAAACCGACTTGAAAACAATGCGCGCTCGCGTTATTTTCAGCCAATTACGAATCGAGAAATAACGCATTCCCCAGAGTCTTTCACGCATTGACATCTGCTGGATGGCAAAAGTGCGGGCTCTGGGTACGAGATTGAGGACAATACGACTTTTCCCGTTTAAAGCGAGCAACCGCTGCTCACATTGAGCGGAAACAAGGGTTATTGCTGTTTACAAAACTTTCACATGGGATATATTATATTATATTATTATTATTATATTATTATTATATTTTATTTATTAAATTTTTGTTATTATAATCTTTGCATGTTAAATATTTGAATTGGTTTTATTATAACAAGCAAATATTTAAGAGCAGTGACTGTAATGGTATGGAGTAGAATTACCTTGGATCCGTTGATCTTCATGACCAGCGTCCATCCCCCATCTCCGCATGTCGTGGTATTGTCCATATGACAATACGTCATAGTAGTGGTGTTGCCAGTACGGATGTTATATGCACCGTTAACACGTGGTCTACAGAGAAATACTTCATCAAGGGGTGAATGAGAACGAGTACAAAAATCACGCATAATTAACGAGAATTACACCATGTGAAAGAGTTTGAGCCTATTTGATTGATATTCACCAAGTAACAAGTTTTTGAAATTGAGTGGAAAAATTTAGAGAATGCATGTTTTTGGGGGGATGTTGCCCTAAAACTCCATACATCTCAGGGGTGGATTTTTGTTGAATAGTGCCATCCTCCAAACCAACCATACCCCATATACCATAATTGCAAAATTGTATAGCTTCTTGTTTATATTTAAATCATATTTAAATTGTATACTTCTTGGTCAAAAAAGGGTTGTGTGAATCAAATGACTTCCCTTGGATCAACACTGTGTTAATGGAATATTTAATAACAAAAAACGTTAATGAATCTGTCGTTAGAAGCTTGAGTGTCATTATCAAAAATTTTATTAAGGCTTCTACCTAACTTTTGATGCATATGAAAACGATTAATATTTGGGCTGCCTGTGATGAACATGGACAACTATCCCATAATACACTTGCGCGCACAGACAAGTGGAACATCCCACAGCTATATCTCATTCAAATGAGACCTTGTATGGGGTCATGTTATAATCACACCATGTAATAATAACACACGAACAAATAGCGTACTTTCTATTTACCTTTTTTTGCTAAAGACATCCTGACATGACGAGAACACTTCACCCACTGAAAGAAATTGTCACAGACAACTAGAGATTAACAATCGTTATGTTTGCTGAATAATATCAAGCTTTTCAATAACTATTCATTTTGTTTTCATGTTATTCAATCAAATAGAGCATTTGCTTGAGTAAATCATTTTGTATTTTCTCTCGTTCTCTATGTTAAACAAACAATGTTTAATGTTTAGTTTACCTAAAGCTGTTGAAGCTTCGCGGGCGATGCCAACCTGCCATTTTAGAAAAACATGAATTACGATTATCATTATCAATAGACGTCTTATATTATYAATATTATCCCGAGTTTGCTGTGGAATTGCTCAAGTGAGTGAGATACATATTACAATTTGCAATCCATGTGGTAAAGTATGGTTTTTGACAAAATTAATTAAAAAGTGGAACTGTTTAGATTGAACTGGGCGACAGTTATTTGATCAAGATGAAGTCTCACTCGTGAAATCAAATCTCCTTCCTATATAAGCCATACCTTTGTTTGCTATCACTCGCGAAAGATCATTTTAATATCGAGATTAATCTAGTGGCGGTAATTGAATCCAGCTAAGAGAAAATTATACCGCCACTCCCTATTGAAACAAAGTGACAAGAAAAGAAAATTGCTAAATTAATGAATTATAAAAAATTTAATTTACCGCCATTTGTACCAGTTATAGCATTAATTCATACAATAATGTTTCTTTCGCGGTTCAAAGTCAGTTAAAATTAGATACCATTGTATAGCTTATGCTCTGAATAAGCGTCTTGATATGTGAATCGACTGATACATAGGAAAACTGCTGTCTTATCTCATTCTTGTGCAGAAAATACAAGAGAAATGGGCAACAAATGCATACGTGTATAAAATGATACAATCTAAACATCAATTAAATGTTTCGAAAATGTTAGAAAGGTCGAATTCTTTTCGGTTAAATGCCCCCTTCGTTAATTTTTTTAAACACAGCCTTCCCTTTCTGCAATTTGTTGTCAATTTTTTCTTAATAAAAAAGTCGATTGTTGTAGAGGCAATCACTACTGCGGTATAGCCGGCGCTAACAACATTAATATAGGATATGGTCAATTATCAGACTTTTAAAAAAGTTTTAACACATGTATTTTACACATTGATACCATTCGCCAGTTCAAATATGACTTTCTATATTCACGAAAAAAATCTTATTTTGGCATTATTTACCCAGCAGTTTTGGCAATAAAACTATAAACATACGTCAAGTAAGATAAACTTGAAGCTTACCTTTTTCATCGTGACAAATCTCTTGCTTTGTGCTTTCGTGATTTTGGTTCTTAACGTACAGAAGTTCCCAGCTACATCTAATTCAATGACTCTGCATTTGTCCTCTCTACCACATCTTAAAGCACAGCTTATAGCACTGCTTCCCCTGAATTTGTTGATTATTTCGTTGCGATAAACATTTCCTGAGCCAGGTTCTTCAAGCTGAGTAAATGTTGAGGATACACTGGATTGGTCAATGGCGTCTGCTAGACATAAAGCAAAGGCTAGTCCCGCAAATACTGTACTCCAAATAGAATGAGGCATGATGGCATTGGTGTACCACACTAGCAAAGGCCTTCTGGTTCGTCGATAGCATGAACTCTCTGTATTTGCCTTTTGTCTCTCATTCAAGTCTCGCAGATGGCCTGTCAGGTCTGCGCATAAATGCATTGATTCATTAGTTTTGATGTGGGACAACAAGCTTGTCTTGTAAAGTACTTTGCGCATGATCAAATGGTCACCTCACAACTTTTCCAAACATTTTCCGCAAAATTCTGAAACGCTCGAGTCTTAAATTACTATGATAAAAAGCTCACAGTAGTGTTTTATCAAGGATAAAACCCCTATCGTAGCTCATTTTCCTAAATCGTACATATTGTTCTACCTTTCGAAAACTTATTATTTTCACTATTATTGTAATGTCGGATTTATTAACATGGATCATAATAAGTACAATAATAAATAGTAGAATCTATTTCTTTTAATGAAATACAATTATTTACAATTATTTATTTACAATATAATTTAAAAAAATGATAATTCAGAGAAATAAACAAATTATAATAAGTAAATAAATAAAATAGTAAAAAAAAACAAATGAATCAAACATATATATTATTATAATTATAATTAATATAAATGATTAGAATTTCTTTACTGATGTATAAACTGCTTTGTTTGTTGCCATGACATCAATCTGAATCTGAGGTACTTTCGTAACATTCACTTTCATTACATTTGAAGAGAAACTGGCCATCATCTTCAAATACACGTGTGACTCCCCAGAACTGGATCACACTAAGGAAATAATACAGCGTGAAGAGGTTCTCGATTCTAGGGATGTTCTTTGCCATCTTCATGGATTCATTAATGCATTCTTGTAGGATTTCAGTGATGGGACTTAGCTTGTTAATCAAAGGTTCAAAATCATTTGTGTTTGGGTGTGGGTACACAAAATCAAGACTCTGAATTTCAATCTTGCTTCCATCTGGTAGAGAGAAATTCAGGATTACTTCACAGGCTGTGAAACATGTCCAATCTCCTCTAATTTCTCCCTCTATTTTCAGGATTGACCCTCCTTTCATCCTAAATTGTGCTTTGTTGACAACATACTTGGCAGCAATAGCAGCTGGTGTGTAGTTTACCGAGAAGAGAGTTGTTCTGTTCACTAAGTCCACCATCATCTTCTTTGGCGCCTTCTTGAGATACATGTCAGTCATTACAATGCAAAAACGCCTAGCATCTTCACACAGCTGTCTTAATATGCCTGTCTGGGACTTTTTAACTAAGATTTCCAACGGGCGAGCCATAATCTCTGCAGAGTAGGGAGCATAGGTCTTCTTTTTTCTTTTCAGCCATTTCTTGAGTGATTTTTTGATTTTTAATGAGTTGTTTTGACAGTATAAATCTAAGACTGTTTGGAGTGATTCCATGGTAGGTACAGCATTCTTGTCTTCATCTTTGAAGTAAATCCTATGCTCTTCTCTTAAACGAGGGAAGCGAAAGCACATCCAAACAAAGAACTGATCTGTTATTGGTGGTACTGTGTCGCCAAGTTCTTTCTGAAGAAGTTCTATTACTGGTTTCAATGGATCTACAACCGCTCTCATTTCCTCTTCACTCCATGAATCATAATCCTCGGGTACAATACCATAAACTTTAATTCTAATCTCTAAATCACCACAAGAAACTTTGATGATAGTTTCTCTGCAGATTTCACCCATGTAGTCCACAAAGTGCGACGTAAAAATAGACAAATCTTTGTCACAACTTGGTAAATGAAATGTTTGTTCAACGCATTGCTCTTCACATGTTTCTCCTTCTTCAAGTGTCTCTGAGCGCGAAGATATGATCCACGAAAAGTACTTGGCAGCCACAGGGCCGCACCATTTCCACACGTCTGAGACACTTTTGTAGGAAAGATGATCAATGGAGTATTGCACAGCTTCTTCGACTAAAGTGAGGAGGCGTTCTCGTGATTTTAATCCGCGGCGATCATTTAATGTAATAAAGAAAGGGTCGACGCTGTAAACAATGAATTGTCTCATGTAGAACTCGGCTTTTCTCTTGAAGATATTGATGTGCCAGTTTCTTTCATAGTTAGCAAGGTGGTTGAACCGTTTGCAAGTCAAAGAGAAGCTGTAAAACGAGCTAAAAATGTTCAAAAAAGACAAAACGTTGCATAGACAATCATCATTTAAAGAGAAAATCGACACTGACTCCATTCTCAAGCAGTGCGTTGGCGAAGAGACCCTTACTAACCAAACAACATAAATAAAGTTGAATGTGCTCTTCTGCATTTACCGCCAGGCGTTCTTTGTAAATATATAGGGATCCCGCAACAAATAATGGATTTTCAATGATAGTCTATGATATCAGTGAAAAGTAAAAACAAAAAAACAACTCACTCAGAATAATGGATCATCTTCTTGAGAAAAATTATGGGTCAAATTCCTTTTAATGAGGTTTTCCATTTCTCAAGCCCTTGAATGTTAATGATTATTTGGTGTTTTGCATCCTTCAGTTTGCTTGTGAAATGATATTAAAAGACTTAAAATTTTTCAAGATTGCTTTTAATTAACATTGAAATACTACATAAATTTAGATCATTTTACATGATACCATAATATTTAACTATTTGAAATAGCACTTTTAAGGGATTAAAATCCCTTACTCTAAACCCTACGTAATTCAAAAGATATTTTATTTGACTCCAGACTTGATGGGAAATGTCATATTCTTACTGTTATAAGTTCATCTCATCAGAATTTTACTGGATAGGTTAAATTAGGGTCATGAGCATTTTGACTTTTTGACGAACCATTGCTTGACCTTCTTGTGTTTGGAGTTTTCTTGACTTCGCCTTTACTGCTCTTGGCAACGAGAGAGTTTAGTTTATAATAGTCTAAAAATGTACGAGCAACATTTCTTCCAAGCTTGAAGTAGCCTTCCTCAGTGTATGGTGACATGCCTCCATTGGCATGGTAGCTGAAAAATGACACTTCTAAAGTGTAGCAATGTGTTGCAGGATCAAGAGAGCTTCCAAGAAACCTCCTTCCAGTACCAGCTTTCATAGCATCTCGGTTAAACGATGTGTTTGACATGGAGAAGTCATCAGCATTAGCACAAAGGAGCTTGGGAAAAACTGCTTGCCTTTCAAATCTCTCTTCCTCTTCATAGACATTGCCATACATAAATCCATTCATCAATGTTGAATGAGCATGAATATCAATGTAGAAGTCAAGATGTGCGGTACTGTCACTATCAAGTTCCATGACGAGATTCTTTGTGGCCACAAGAGTAGGGTGTGCCCAGGGGGAGGGCTCATGCCAGTGACGGTTGAGATCAAATCCCATCAATGAACAGCGATAATTACCAAGTACTACTCCATCAGGGTTGAGCATGGGTACTATCTTGAATACTAGGTAATCTCTGAGAACCTTGGCAGTTGGATGGTTACTCATCAGAAAGTCAATCAGTCCCTGGCAAACATATGATGACGGGGTTTCACCTGATATAGGAACATACTATCATTATAATAATCTGTGAAATTCAATAAAGAATCAAATGTTGTTAGGGCAGCAAGGAAGAGTATACAGTCCTAAAACACATCTGTATTATAGTAGGGAACAGAGTGCAGAGGTATTTCAGGACTGTAAGAAAGTTACTTGCCCCCCCCCCCGGAAAAAAAAAACAACAACAAAAATTAAAATATAGAAAAAAATAAAAGGACTGCAAAAGTAAATAAAGAGAAAAAATTTGAAAAAGAATGAACACGTACCAGGATGAATTCTTGCAGTAATGAACACAACGCGTTTACGAATCTTTGCTTTGTTATTCTCAGGGTTCGTGATAGTGAGAAGGTCAAGTCTTCTTTGCTGTACCGTTGTGCAAAGCAGTTCTCTTGTAAAGAAATCGCAGTCTTTTTGTTCAAGGCCGTCCAGGTAGTTTTGCAAACGTGAATAAGTGTAAGGAAAACAGTAAGCGAACTGATAAACATCTGTTTCATTATCAAAGGCAAAGGCAAATGACAAGACGTAGTTTTTCCTGTGATCGGGGCAGCGATAATAAAAGCAATTCTTAGCGGGGATTCTCTGCCACTTTTGACGACTTGTAGACTTGACTAGTGGAGTCATTCCTTCTCTGTAAAGGCTTTTTGTCTTACTAAAGTTAACTATATTGAAAATGACTCTCTGATAAGGTGCTGTGTTTTCAACAGTAAAGTTAAACCATACTCTAAAGCGAGGATTACAAGTATCAGGTCGCACAAACAAATCGTATTCGAATTCGGTGATGTAGTCGACTCTTCCAAGATTGCCGCTTTCAAAGCAAGCATCGAAGATCAGATGTCCTTTCTTAGGTTTTCCTGAATGTCCAGGTGGAAGGCAACAAAATCGGGATACATTGCCTACTGGTTCATCGGCTTTCATTGGGTTTTCATCGTTTTGTTCGAGACCAACTCCACTCTCTTCGCTCTCTGTTCGAGACGCCATCTTGGTTTGTAGAGTTGTCTGTGTTGTCATGGTGATGACAAAAGTTCACTGGGGCCAAGGTAAGTGATGCAGACATTGTAGAACGGTAATTGTTTTCTTTATTAAAAAACTGAAAATAGAAATATGACGGGAACAAAATCTTCTTTTTTGAGACGCAGGGATCCCGATATGCCAGAACGAAGAGCAAGTTATAAACTTTACAAATGTAAAGAGCAAGTTGATTCGACGATTACTAAAAGTGATCCCCCGTGTGATCCTTGATTCCCTAAATAACAATAGATGCAATCTCTAATCCTTGAAAATAACTTTGATGATTTTTTAAAATATATATTCCGATTCTGGCACTGACTCCGACTCCAGCCAATCAGACTGATCCCATTTCTCTAAAACTTTTGTGTCACCACTTCAGTAACCAAATGTTTTGTTGAACAAGTACTTTTTCCCTCGTCAACTGATTTTGAATTGGATAAAACCCACAGGCGGGAAATGAAAAAGGTACAAGACATCCCACAACTTCCTTTAATTTTGAATGAAATGTTGCCAGTTTGTATGCTTCAAACCAAACTTCGAAGCCAAAAATCATGCAACATGCATTACGCATCTCAAAAGCCTAATGATTCATTACACCGAATCTACAAATTCAGTAATGCAAACTGACGAAGTTCAAGTGAGTTTTAATAATTAAAAACATGATACCAAAGAAACACAACCAAAAAATTGTGATTATTATATTTTTTAACAGTTCTTCTCTTAAAATATAAAACAGTTTTAAAAAGAATGTCAACTCGATAGCTAGGAAACTAGATATTATTTACAGTATGTAATTTACAGTATAAAACTGATTTGATATGTTAAGCGTAATATCGTATTTTAAAAAGCAGCTCTTCAATACGCTAGTTTCAACACAACTGGATAAGTACTATAGCGCTACCCCGAGTAGAGGGAAGGAGGTTTGATATACAACGAAAAAGGGATATGTTATAGCGTAATTATGGTAATATTATAAGAAACATGTGTATTCGCTCTCTTCGCCATCAAGGAATCGTAGGACCTTCGACAAAGAAGGGCATTCATTAACTACAGGAAGATTTCTTCGAAGAACCTGAAAACAACCAAATGAAGGTTTAGATTTAGTGAGTATACCGATAATGAATTCCAAAAAGAATGCGACATAAGGTAGATCGAGAAAAAAGAATAAGAGGAAGAAGATGGGAAACACATTAAAGATTATTAATTTTAAATAAAAAATATATATATAAACAACATTTTTCACTGAATGGTCTATGAGGAACAATTTAATGGCCAATCAGAATGCTGGATTCGTGCACACTTTTGTTGGGTAATAATTGTATTCAATATGTAGGTCATTGATGGAGTTCACTTACGTTTCTTATCTTCTCTAGAGCTTGATCAAGACGGACGATTTCACCTTCGGCTTTTTTCAACGATTTCTCGAAATTCATTATCTAAAATCAGACAATGAATGTTAAGTGAAAGGATAAAAGAGAAATAAAGAAATGATTAAAAGAATTGTATTTGTGAATGCAAAGACGTAAAGTGCCTTTTATGTACTCCAAAGTTTGTATTTCCAAAATATGTCAATACTTGAGAGTTTTTGGAATATTTTCGGTAATTCCTATATAATATATTGACCATAAGAAAAACGAACAGAGGACTGGGAATGAACACATTAAACGCTCCATATATTTAAACATCTGTTTTCACCATATGATGGAGTATATCTCAACTAGTAAACTGGCAGAGTTTTAGCTTCAAATGTTGAATATCAGCAGAGTTACAAGCATTTGAAATGTAACAAAAACGTGAAAACGAGGCTGGTCAGGCCCCCATACTGATCACTAAAACCTTTGCAACTTCAAACACCTAATTTTTGTTAGAGCATTGAAATTTTCAGATCTTATTTATTGTGATGTGTTCTTTCAAAGCAATGATAGCAATGATACAATAAAAATCGTATAAACTAAGGAGTTACGATAGCCACGCCCTTTTTCATATGGTCTATACCTTTCGAGACGTTGTTAGTTTGTTCTCATTTAGGCGGTCGTCAGCCTTCAGACGATACTCCATCCATCTGTCTTTAACTTGTTTTAACTGTTTACAAGAAACAAAGGTATGTCAATATAAGTAAAGGAAACTTCCTAATAATTGAGTTGTCCCTGCATAGTAACGATAGTAGTAGTAACACATTATTTGCCTATTCTAACTACAGTTGGCTTTAACTTCATTCTTATAGAGTACAAACATCAAATGTGTGCAACGCTTTCCACTATTTAGTGGTATATATGTGGCACAGTTTTAGTGTTTGTACTCTACCCTTTTTAACCTCTTCGTTCTTTTCGCAAATTTCTATCATGTGCTCAGTTTCTTATAAATTATAATTTAATTTCCTTCCTCGTTATTAGCCGAATTATTTAAATATAGTGTCATTCTCAAAATCCTTTACCTTTCTCTCAGCCATAAATTTCTCTTCTAATAACTTCCCCGAGTCATGGGTCCCCGCGGTGCTCAACTCGCCCACTCTGTTAATTGCTTCAGTTAGTTGTTCTTGGATACAATCTTTCTCTGAAACAAGTCTTTTGTATTCTACCTCTTTACGTTGTAGTTCGTCCTTCAAATCCTAAATGATATGACAAATAAAATAGCATGATTTGAATCAAGTTGGTGGTGTCTTAGTCCAGAACTGGACCCAATTTTTTCAATAATTGTATAATATAAAACGAATAACGTACGCGCGCAGATCAAAGAAATAGTTCTCAAATATCTGCGCGCGCTGTTACACTCTGTATTTTTGTCTATTTTTTCATACAATAATTATTGAGAAAAGTTGGTCCAGTTCTGGACTAGTGGTGTGTGAGTTGTTTCCCTAGATAGTGACAAGTAAAGAAACACGTATCGCGCATATGCATGTAATCAAACAAGCGCCTAAAACCCGAGAAAATGAACCACAATATGTAACGCCAGAGGCGTAGCCTGCTGCACGAAGTCTATCTGTAATCCATGATTTGGTGTCTATGATCTCGGTCCCCCGTCGCCTGTCATTATCCTGAGCATAAGATACAGTGATAACACTGACATTTCAATTCCCTTACGAGTTTCAATTCTGGTCAAACAGTTGATTTCGCAACTCACCGAAATCTGCCTCCTTTGTTCAAATTCCAGCTCCAGCAATCCATTCAGAGAATCGTTTTCTTTGTTCACTTGTTTAAGGTTCTCTCTGGTGCTGTTTAGTGTGATGACGAGGTTATTTATCTCTGTCTTCTGTTTTTGTATGGTGCATAGATTGCTTGTCTCACTAGAGCGAGATGTCTCAAGTTCACGATATAAGCCATCAAGAACCGCGGTATGTTTCCGTTCCATTGATTCCCTAAAGATAAGCAGTAAGTCATATCAGTCCTAATCATAATCGTAAGCACAAAAAAGACACAATCTCACTTTGGCAATTGACAATACTGACAAGAACATTATCAAAAGAGCAAGTCACTAGTCATATTAGTTTTTTATTCCTTACACTTGACAGGACGGTCTCAGGATTTCTTTTTTTTTTCATCTTTATGTCTATGCTTATGTTTGTACTATTTATGTGTCACTAAAAAGGGTTTAGAGCTCACAAGTTACGTTAGGGAATATGATCGAATATGACATGAGCTCTTACGAAAAAACGTAGGAAGATATTTTTTGAATATTGTTTTTTGTTTCGACGGGCATTGTAGTGTCAAAAGTAGTCATTTCCAAGCTAAAAGTTTATTTAAAACTACTTGGCTTACCTTTCTTGTAAAAGCTGTTTTATTCTTTGTCGTGCTTCATTAGATGCTCTCTCGCCATAACCAATATCAGCTAATTCTATCAAACCTTGTTTTAAATCATTAATCTGACTGCACAAAGTAGTAATACAGTCCTCGTCGTCATCGTTGCTGTTGTCGTTGAGCCTTGTTTGCTGTCCTTGAGCAGCCGCTGACAAAACACTTTGCACCAATGATACCCCGCTTGTGGTCGATGCGATAGTTCCCTGGTGGATTTGCTTTTCTTTGTCCTTTTTCAAAATAGAAAAAAAAAAACGAAAATAAGAATGGCTACACTTAAAAAATGATGGCGAAAGATCTCGACCCAAGAACGTAGAAGAGATGAAACTGGCTTTACAATTTTGCTATTCTACCTCAAAATCACGATGAACATTTTCCCTGAATCGTTTCAGTAGAGGACCCAATATATCCCATAATTCTGCAAGAGCTTCTTGACCATCTGATATTTCATTTTGTAGTTGTTGTATGATGCAGTGGGCCTGTGACTGTGTGGCATCCAGTTCTTCCTGTTTTTCCATCACTAGACTCCTAAAAACAATTGTAACGGTGGATTTTATCATTGTGCACAACACACACACACAAAAAAAACACGAGCATAGACCAACTATTTGCATTCTTACCTGGAGAATTTTACTTCTTCCTCGAGTTGTTCAACTTTCTCACCTCTCTGTTTGGTAGTGACCAGCTAAAATTAATAAGCAACAGGTGTCATTGCTATCCTATTCGTATCAGAAACATGTAGGATCAGTGACAAGAGTCAGACTTAAAAACTCAACCTAGTCAAACAAAAGATAAACGCATAGGTAAAAGTTTTTATTACAGGTTCCTTTAAAGGCAGCTGCCATGAAAAAGGCTTTTCATATGATGACATATTAAAAATTACATGAATGAAACCAAAACCTGAGTGACTCACCTCTTTTTCCATCTCTCTGGCTGTCTCTTCTAAAGTCCGCTTCTCTTCTTCCAAGAAGTTATTCATTTCTAGATTTTGGCACTGAATTAACTGCAAATACAGAGCATTTATACAGTTGTAAGAGTGGTAGCCAGATGGCGGATATTTGAAATAARAAAATACATAAATTATGTATGCTCTAGATAACAGTGTACACGTGACACGAAAATTGAGGGAGAAATTGCCAGAGGGATGACACATTGTGCTATCAAGTCATTGCAATGCATTAGGGAAAGTAGACCTTACTTGTACTTTGTGCAATTTTGTGCGAAGCAAAAAGGTTGCACAGCTACCCCCTGTTGCACTGTGTATTTCTTCAGCAACTTGTATTGCAATGGCATTTGGTGCACCAATGACGTCCCACTGCACCCGTAATCTATGGTCTCACCTCTAGATGCTCCTGATACATGTTGTTCTCAGTTTTGAGTTTCTCCAGTTCTTCTTCCAAGGATTTGATGACACCCTTTTGACGTGAAATCTCCAAACGTCCTACGTCAACCTCAGAGGTAAGTTCTGAGATTTGATGCTTGAGTTTTGCACAGTATTCACCCAAAATTGCTGCTTCGCTCCTAAGGTATTTAAGATCCAAATTAAGAAGTACCAAAGCAGTAACAAAGCCATTCTATTGACTTGTCTGTTCAGACAATAACAGAGGATATACTAGTGCCTCGTTTTTCATATAATCACAGTGCAACATGTACAGGACGTTCTCTTCCCCTTTTTGCTTTTCTTTGTAAAAGTAGAAGAAAACGCCCTATGCATGAAGGAGCATCCCCAGCACTGTAGCCTTCCTGATTTTCTACTGTGCTGTTTTTAATCTAATACCTAAAGAATATGCAATTTAATTGGGGAAGGCAAATGTACCAGTAATTGGATCATCATACCTAGAGCTTTGAAGTTGGTCCTCAGTATCCTTGATTAAATGTGTCTTTTCATCCAAGTCATGAGTCAAATGCAAAATCTGAAAAATAATATCAAAACTTGTAAGTCAATTTATTACACGTTACTTTATAAATACATGTATCTGACATGCAGCTAATATTAAATGAGAGCTCTACATACATTGTATGGTCACACAAGCTTACCTTTTGCTGAGCTGTTGCTTTGAATTTTTCAGCCTTTTCAGAAACAAACTAAAAATAAGTTAAATTTTCATATTAAAATTATACTTGCAATAGATAGTTTTATAAAATCATTTGATACATTTCATAGAGTGTGAACATTGAACAATCTGACATTTTTTTAATTTATTAAGGGGCAAAACAGTGAATGCCTTTTACAATCCTGAAATAGACTTATAAAATTTAGGCCGTCAAAATTATATTGTAAAGTAGTCCTTTGATGAGCTATTTTACCTAACATTATTTCAAAGAAAAACTTCAAGGTTTCAACACCTTTTCTCAACTATATTGAATGTAAGCTTTAAAATTACCTCAAGACGATCAACAAGAGGGCTTAGATTTTCACATTGTAATTTATAGTATCGATTTTCCTCTTCACTAGACAACACCAACTCTTGGAGTTCACTGATAGATTTTTCTCTTTCAGACAGATCATTTTTCAAATGTTCACATTCCTTCATGCACTGTTTTGTTCTTGCTTCTTTGGAGTTGACTTCTTTTTCTAGTTTTGTAACAAGTGACTTTTGACTTTTATTCTCTTGTCGACAAGTTAGTATCACTTCGTTCAAGTTTATTACTTGCTGGCGACTCTTTTGAAGTTCACTTTTCAAGCCTGGAACCCCTCTCACTTGGTGATGTAGCTGGTTTATTTCAACTTTGAGTTGTCTAATCTCTTCTTTTTTGGATTCAAGTGATGATTTGTTTGACTTGACCTGCTGGAGTTCCTTTTGAAGCTTCTGGACTTCGCTGGTTTTCTTGAATAACTCCTTTTGTAGAGATGACTCTTTTAGAAGGGTTGGGTGATTGGTAGAAGTAGTTTTGCTCTTTTGTGATGTTGTCTGGGATACTTTTGTCAAAGGATGTGTAGTTGCAGGTCTCTAAAAACAAAATAGAAATATCAATAGCTACATGTAATTTACTACAGCTAGTAATAGACTGCAATCATATCAGCTTGTTTTTGGTATTTGGAATCAAGATCTGATCACTTCAACTCTCCTTACCTCAATTTCTTTCCTGTAAAGTGACAGCTGTTTTTCTAACTGAAGTCGTTCTTTATTCATTTGTAGGATGATTTCAGTATATTCTTGGATCTTCTTTTGATAAACTTCATTATTTTGGCTTGCATCTGTTTCTTGTTCACTTTGCTCACTTGTCTGTTGGAGTTTGTCAGACTCTAAATTTCTGGTATCCTTGTTCTTCTGATTTGACTGGTACTCCTGAAAAATCATAAAATTTGTTTTTTATAATGTTTGTATTGTTGACTGTGACTAAAATAGAGCTAACCATTTGGATGTCCCTTAAAATGTCTTTTACAAATCCCTCAGCATAGCAGTCAAGGCGTGTTTCTTCTGATATCTCATCATTATGGACTGGTAGCTTGTAATCAGTTTCATTGTCTTTGGGAATGACTGATTTTGGATGAGGCAGAACAGAACGGCGCTTAGTAACTTGGTATTTTGAGCCTGATTTGTCTGAGTCAATCTGAACAGCTTTAGGTTTAAGATTTGAGGGAAACAGCAAAGGTGAATGAAGTTGTTTGGTTTGTTTCAAAGATCGTCTGAACACATGGACTGGAATACTCAGTCGTTTTGATTTTCTCTTTGTTTTGTTAGGGTTCAACCCAGCTGGAGTAAAAGAACTCCTTGCAATCCTGCTCTTGGTAGAGCGAGTGAGTTCTGGAGTACCAACTAAGTTCTCTTGGACAGCCTTCAAGGGTTTTCTTCCTGGCGTGAAGAGTTGGGAAACCTAGGAAAATGGCAATAAACGAAAGACGTTTGAGCAACAAAACATCTGAGCTACCTCTAAAACGATGTAAAAATCGTCGATAAACACACAGCAATCCGTCATATTCAAAGCTAATTAGTAAGATTACTACTAAATGTTTTATATTTGTGAAGTCAATCCTACCTCAGATGGAAAATTCTCTTTTTCTTCCATGTACTCCAGAGCGCGAAGGCTCTCATTTACCGCCATGTTGTTTTCAAAATTTGAATTTGGACTGCAATTCTATCGTGCCATCTGATTGGTTAAAAACAGATGTGACATAGGGAGCCCAAATACGTACAGGAAACCCAAAACTTATAACTTCGAATCGACACGGCTTTAGTGCATTTGATGTTGTATGTAATTGTGTATTGTGATTTTAAAACTTCATCAATGTATCGAAAATAATAACTCCTGTCCGTGAAACATAGGGACGATGCTGTAGAAGCCAACTTACAAATAGCAGTCAAGGCTTCATTTGATACAATCCATTGATCATTTTCAAAAATGTTTAAAACATTTGATGATTTGTCCGATTTGGTCTAATCGGGGATCAGACGTCAAAAGTACCCCCTCCCCCACCTCCCGAAAAAACACACAACCTCAGTCGCTTTAACTTAGACACCTCCCATCACGCCCATTGAAACTCGCCCAAGCAATCTCACAATTTCCAAAACTCGTGGAAAACGAGCCGGCAACTGATGCCGAGTGGGCTAATATTAATGAAACTGTTATAGATTTATTCAAGTCTTTATTTAATTTCAAATTTTGAGAATATAATGCGATTATATGAACAGAATTACAATCAAACTGAATTTTATCTTTGCTTGGTTATTCTGTGGAGCACGATGGTACTTAACCCGTGAAATTCATGTTTTTTAAATCACACAGCGTCTAAAAACTACAATGGAAAAATCTATACGAAATAAAAGAGCTGTCTTTTGTGATTCTGCTATCACGGGTTAAGTGGCGTAACTCACTCTACATTGTTTATAGCACATTCTTCTTCATTGGTCGAGAGGAGTACAATTACAGCGTTAATTTCCTTCAAATATTTTATTTCACTGAATGTACTATAAACAAACAAACAAAAACTAATTTCGAGACAAGTCGTATACGTGGATTCTTTGAACGTCGACATGATACGACACTAATCCTATTTCCATCGATTCTAAATCGAATCTAAACAACTATTTATAAAACCTTTTTTATCTAAGCTGTGGTCGTGAATGACTGAATAATATTTCAATGAAATAGATGAAATGTCTACTTATACGCGAGTTTAGACTGGCTTTCATTAACCGATGAAATACACTTTAACGTACTACACTTTTTCGACTCTTTATGGTACGTTTTTTTCTTTCTCTTTCCGTCATCTCATTTTACTATCACATTTTCCTTCACAAGTTATTGAAAACCACTCTACTAGCATACTTCTGGTTTATAATGATTAAAATTGTACTGCTATGTAATTAACGCATTCTCCTATATTTGTATTAGTTCTAGATCATAGCAAAACCCCGCATATACCTGTAAGAACACCCATAAGGGTACGTTCTAAATTGATTTGATAGGTATTCGTTTAAAAAATTCAGCCTGAAAATTGCCTTACGGTGTTCTTTGGTGTGTAATTACAAGCAATAACAGTGGCGGATCTAGAACGTTAAAAAGGGGATGAACTCAGTACGTATTTGATATTCTAACATGATTACCAAGATCAATGATATAATATGTGTTTAATGTAAACTATGATTAAGACCACAATCTATTGTCAAGATAAGCCAATAGATGACCAATAACGACATTAACTTTGATTCAGGAGGACTAACTAGTTTATCAGTTCAATAACGAGTGTTACCTTTAGTTAAATTGTATAATAAAGTATCATTATCCCAGATTCATTATGAGCCGGTATCGTCCAATTTGTAAACTGATTGTTTATCTTATTTGAAATTTGAGTTGTACGAAAAGGAGAAAACAAAAACGAGTGCTTTTAAATAAGATTTTAACTGGATTAACTGCATGCACCGTAATGTCTACCCATCTATTTTCTTTATATTCAGTGGTGTGTTGTTCCCAATAAATGACTTTTTTTAAAAAAAAAAAATCGACATTTAATTTTGATCAGCAAGCTGTCGTTATTTCCTAGAACTGCATTTCTCCCAAACCGATCACATCACTTGTTCTCTCTTACAAAGGTTCGTACAAATCCATCTTATGTGAGCAAGATAACAAGACTTTACATCATCTGAACCCACTTGATAATTTCTTGTCTAAATTGTGTCCAGTCCTGCAAGCCGGATGAGCCTACGTTGTGCGTGGGCATTGCTGGGTCCTGGATGATAGGTAGTTCAAATCCAATTGGAAACAGTTCCCTAGGATAGCTTGATGACAGATAGAATTCATTCCAAAATATCCTGGAAAAGTTAAATATATAAGTATTTAACCAGAAAACTGGGAATCCTATCAATTTGAAGAGTAAGCGTCATCTATACGACTTGTCGTAGGTTTTTGAGCTTAGGTAATACTCCGATTTCGAGTTCTGGTTTTATTTGCTCTGTGTTAGCCTCAAAACCAGGCAACATATTCTTTTGTTTCATTGGTAGCTCGAGAAAACGCATGGAATTTGAAAAGAAAGACAATGGAATTGATTTCAAATCTCACACTTTTATTCTCACAATTAGGAATGTTTTGCGCACAAATGAGGCTAACACAGAGCATTGGAGAATTCGAAACTGGATTATTCATAAGCTTGAAAAAAGTCGTAGGCCGTACGCAACTAGTCTTACCCTGGTTCCAGAGGTTTTCTCTTCTTTTATAGTTTTTTTTTTAAAAGTATTTATCGCATGTTTGTCTTTGCTTCTTAAATTTAACGACGTTTTCTTCTTGCGTCGTTAGTTTACATTAAAAAAACATCTATAAAAGAAGAGAAAACCTCTTGGAACAGGGTAAACTAGTCTTAAAAGACGTATGTATTATTTACACGCTGCGATTCTGTCTTGTAACCCAAAAGCAGTATTCTCCTTCTCAGCCTACTCCTTTTTCGCGCGTAAACTATTCTTTTGAGAGGGACAGGAAGCCCGGAAAAGGGTAGCCTGTGAAGGAGACTAGCATCATGTAAATTCGCGTTAGTGCAGTAATGAAAGTACATACTCTAGGTTCTCGTCATTGACCATTTCTGCCAGTTCAAGGAAGACTTCCTTATCTGCAATAGCTGTCTTGGAGACAGGCTCCCTGTAGAAAGCAACTCAGTATTATAGTGGTTCGATGGACGCTAAAAAAACACTCGGTCTTATACCGAAAGGAATTGTGGGTAAGAGGCCATTTTGAATTATTTTAATAAAAATTAATTAAAATTAAAATTAATTAAAATTAGGTACAGATGACTGAATCACGTACCCTTGGATGATTTGATAAGCTGCTACTACGAGTAAAGCCACAAGGTAAGGACCTGGTTTGGATTCGGCATTCCTCCACGGGACAGAATCACACCAAGCTCGTACAGCTCGTATCAGCTCTTTACACTAAATACAAATGTTGCCAGAATAAGCGATTGTGACGCATCGTAATATATTCAAAATCAAACAATGTATGTGTCATTTAAAAGGTGTTTTTTGAGCGGTTTCATTTCATTGAAGTTAAAATAAGAAATCGGAACTTATAAAAGGTATTCCATTCTTACTGAATTGCAAGTACCTTATCTGATTGATTGGCAATGAATTCAGTTTGCCTCTCACAAGCGGAAAGAATGTAGCTGAAAAAAAGGAAAAACCGTTAAGACATCAAATATACAAATAGCCAATATCGTATAAAACCCTCCCTGACCTTGTTTCATTTCACATCTTTTTTGAAAGTTTGAAATCAAGAAAGAAGCATTTTAAAAACTTCAACTTCTTTGTCTGATGTAACTGAATAGTCTATATCTAGACCATTGCCTGAGTTTCGAACATGCTGCTGCAACTTCGCGGCGATTTTCCATCAACGCAACAATCGCAGGGGCGATTTTTTAGTTGAGAGATAGCAAATCGCGCTGCAAAAATCGCAAGTGTAAACGGGCCTTAAGACGTTTATGTAATCATTAATTTGTGTACGCCACTGTTTTTTTTTGAGCAGGATTTATTAATACTTACTAAGGTTGAGCTTCTTCCTCTGTCTGGCTCATGGCCATTTGATAAAGTCCCTTAAAACCATCAAACGGCTCCCAGTCATTAGTTGGAATAAGGACAACATTGACGTCATCGCACTTGAAGACAACCGCTGACGATGTTTCCAGGAAGTCACAACAAGGAGGCAAGGTCGAGTTGCAGTTGTCTTGAGATCGTTGTTCTCCATGCTGTTTTAGTAGTGTCTTGATTGAAAATACGATTGCTGGTAGCCAACTCTTATGGCTTGTACGCGGGAGATCTGGAATCATGGATAAGATCGAATGACCGAAGGAATGATTCAATGATTCAGTCAATGTATTTGTATAAATAATCGAATGAGAAAAGAATGGAAAGGACAGTATAATAAATGACGGGATCAACGAGTCACTGAAAGTATCAATTTACCAGTGGACCAGGAAACGTATCAATTTACCAACCATCAAAAATGACAAATGATATAGTACGAAGTCTTGTTGTCATTCCTTTGAAAAAGCTTTGTGCAGCGACATGTATTGAAAAGCGAATATGTCTAATCCATTCATGATGTATAAGAAGCAAAGGAACCTTCATATACTGAAACGGCAGATGCTGCATTTTGTTATATTTTTCTTTCTTGACAGAAGCACATATGTACTTCTGTTCTTGAGAAATATTCTTACTTTACTGGCTAACTCGAATCAACGCAGTTTTATTCGTAATTTACCTAACACGCATGCTCTAATATGTTTTCGAGTACATCCCACATGTGTTAGTGCTCTATTTCTGCCTTATTAAATGATTATTTTGGTGAGCTTAGTACCTTGAATGAAAATACCAAGATCAAGTTCTTTGACTCCTTTAGTGGTCGTTCCCTGCCCAGCGTTCCCGACTACTGATATACGACTGACAGTGAATGGAAGGTTGTTCTGAAACCAAACCAATCATGGATCATCAAACTTGACATGCAAAAAATAGAAAACCATGCAACAAATTTACTGGTTTGTTTGTTGCGTATCATGTATAGATTCTGAAACTAACTAATTAGGAATAGAAGTTTCTGTGATATACAACCTATCTTACAACAAAGTTTGTCCTACTGTACGATTCCTATTTCTTTCTTCCCGGTACCGCAACACCTATTTTCTGAGTTTCTTTTGTTTGATAAACAAAACAGATCTTTATATCTATCAAATCAACAGCCTATCAACGTCAACGTCACTCTGAACAACGTCTATAAGAGTAAACTTTACCATTAGAAATTCCTTCAGCTGCTGTGCGACTTGGTTTTGTTTTTCCAGGTCTTCTGGGTCAGGTTGTGTTTTCTCTATAAGGTCTTTTAGGTTTACCAGCCTTGGACTTTTGCTGTCCTATAATGCACAGCGTGCATAGTTAGAAAGCAAAGCAGTCCAGTGTAATTGTAATTGTTATTCCCATTGTTTTTTACTTACTCTTCCATCAGCATTCTCTTCCACACTATGAATGTAGTGTTCTTTGTCCTTGATTTCCTCTTCCAATGTTTGAATAGCAGAGTCTTTGTCACTGATCTCTTTGTCCTTGTTTGACAACAATTCATCACGTTCATCAATTAGCTTGTCTTTCTCGTTGGACACTGACGACACTTGATCAGACCTAAAACAGATTACAGCTAAAAGGTCATGTGACTACGTTTAAGCTTAGCTGCGGCGCACAGTGAAGGCGGAAAAAATAAGTCCAACTCAAGCAACATCGCTGCTTTTCAAATTTTACAAAGACGTTTTCTCTTTATACAGCCAGCTTGGGCTAATGAAGCGCGATCAAGCGCGCTTTCGCAAAGCCCTGATTCAAAAGCATCCATAGTCCCCCCCCCGTACCCCCTGACATGCGGGTAACACAGGGAGACCAAAACTGAGCACACTTCATACCAGTATTTTTCAGTAGAACTCTTGGTCAGTGCATTGATGTCCCTCAGCTTCACAATGCTACCTTTATCAGCATCCAGCAACAGTGGATCGTACACTTCGTTGATATTGTGAACAGCAAGCTTGACACTTAGAAGCTTCTCTTCATCAAGGAATGGACTGTAAGGACTGATGGACTGTGGAACAGACAAAGTCAGAAAATTAGATTTCTCCGCCAAAAAGAAGAAAATATTGATAAGATGATGGCACGCTTTTACAAGCGTAAAAAAAATTAGGATGGTTTGACAGTAACTCTATCGACAATATCTGTATAATAAATTGTAATGTACTTTCTGTCGACAATATAAATCAAAATATTGTGATTCTTTAGTTAACATTTAGATAACTTTTGATTTTCAATTTAATCTACATCATTCTATAGAAACCACAAAAACACTAAAGGTGGTCATTTTTATCTGTAAAAAAACAAAACAAAACAATTTTCACATTTTTTGTCTATGATTGGTTGAATGGGAAGGGGATGGGAGAGAGAGAACATCCCCTGCCTCTCTCACACATACTGCCATTACATTATTATAAGTTGCACATCAATTCATATTCATTTATTTGATTTTTTCAGTCCTGAATATCATGATACAAATTAACTCAGGGTCACACATCCATGTAAATAAACAAATTGTATTCTCTGTCACAGTTTGAGAGGAGACGCTGGCATTCAAAAGATGTTTTAAAATCACAAAAACCAAAACTGGGAAGAATCCAAGTAATTGAGGGTAGAAAAAGAGAGGCAATAACACACACCACAGGAAAGCAGGACAAATATTGGCACAATGTCATATGAAAAGTAAATGTAACTAAAATATAAGGTTGTTGTAGTGTACTTTTGGCAATTTACTGTTATCGAAGATACACTGCATTTCCAAATTTCTGTTTGTCTAAAGCAATACAGTTTGTAAACAAAGGGAATAAGCCAAAAGACACAACTTTTTTGATATTTAATTTTTGAAAATTAGCTATACTGTAAAAGTGCAATGGAAATGAAATATCCTAAAAATGACATTTGCAAAGCACAGACATAGACCGTTCATTCAGGTTGTGAAATATTGGACAAGAAGTGGAGAATATACCTTGGAAAAAATATAAATGTCAAGATTTGTTTCTATTTTTGGGACATATTTGTTTTTGTTTCAATCTTGATTGCTGTTTTTGCTTTGACTGTTGTTTTGCACATTTCAATCATCAAAAATCTACCATTTATTGCAAAAACAAACACACATTGTTCACACTTATTTTTAACTTATTGTAAAAAAAGATTTCTTAATTGATGGACATGTTGGCATGTTACCTCACTCAACAGCAATGGTGACTTCATGGTTACTTCTTCTCCACTGTAACAAAACGCACTATGGCCTGGTGCTTCCCATGAGTTTAGAGTTGTTGTCTTTTCATCATCTTTGAAACAAAAGACTACAACACTCCACAGTATGTTATAATAATATGCGCTGTCATCAATCTCTTTGTAGAAGCCATCTGGGTCAAACTGAAGCTTAAAATCAAGTCTTTCTTGATCTAGTGATTCAGCTTTAAATGACAATGGGAAATTAGTATAATCATTCAAGGCTACAGCGCTGCCAAGGTTTTCAGGAGGGCTCCAATCTTTTGTGTCAAAACCAAGATAGAAGTAGGGCTGGATGTTGACTATCTTAATTCCTACAGGGACAGTTCCTCCCTTGGCCATCAATCTAAGATCCTTGGTGCGGATGAATTTTTCAACACCAAATGTTGTTGAGCAGACCTTTTCATGAAAATGATGAGTGATTTTGACTTCTTTGACTTTAGGTATATAGATAGTGAATGTTACATCAAAGCGAAGAGCACTTGGGTTTTCTCTGCGTAGATAGATAGCAGCGTTATCTTTCTGAGGAGTCGATGCTTGTGGATTCTCCCCTCTGGGATACATGATGATACTCCAGTCATTGTCAAACAGAGAAAACTTTGAACTGGATGTGAATTCTGTTCCAGAAGCAAGGTTAACAACCATTTTATCTTCAAACTTTGTATGAACTACTCTGCACTTTACCTCCAGGAACAAGCAGTTGCCTTCAAGGAATCCTGAATGAGGCTTCTCAATCTCTTCTACAGCGATAACTTTGCTCCATCCAACTCCAAACCCAGATCTAGGAAACTCATCTTCATCTTCCAGACATCCAACAGTGACTGACCTTGAAGGGTCTAGAGTATTCACAGCTGTGACTTCAAGTGAAATCTTGCATTTTATTTTGCGATTTTGCTCACCACCCCCGTACCACCTGAGGAAGACCCCTAGATTTCCCCCTTTGATGCCACTCTGCAGCCTCCAGTGATGCCCTGAGAAAGACAAGACCTTGGAAAACAACGATTCCCCGACGCTACTAAATTCTTCGATGACAAAGGTGAAACACTGAACATTGTGTTCCTGGATTTTTGTATAATGAAGACGCAAAGCCATTGACAACAATCTCTAAACCTGTTGCATTCACAAACTGTCTGCACTGAACTCACAAACGTGCAAAAAACGGCATTAATTTATCGACTTCAGTTCTCCCAAAGAGAAACAAAGTCAAACCTAATGGAAGAAGCGATGTTTAAACTATATGAATGGTGAATTATTTCACGAAAAGGAAGCGGAATCTGTCCAATTCGAGAGGGAAGTTGAAGAAAAACGAACCAACAAAGCTTGGTTTCAATGTTATTGACATTAAGTTTTAATGACTGTTTACCTCATTACGAATGCTATACGACTAGCATTGGCATAATTATTATAACAATTGATATGCTCCTTGAAAATTACTTTCTTCCAATTCCGATTTTCAGACGGTTTTATCAAGGTAAGTTAAGTTATTTTTCGAAGAGAGAGGTAGAAATCTGAGTAAAGTAATGGATTAATTAAATTACATAGTTATTTGCTTCCATTGTCCGAGATTGTTTTACAGGTATCGAAAAGCAGAAGATAAAACGACTGAAAGTGTTTTGGTTGGCGTTATTTTTGTTGGCAGTATGCCAGAGGCTCCACTAACCTGTCGAGAATGGGTTGGCAGGTACTTTTACAGTTTTTAATTCGCCATATTTCCGCCTTTACACAGACTCTATTGAAGTATTCTTGGAAGAAATATTATAATTGTACTCTTTGAATTGGTTTGAATATGTCTGATGTCGCCAAAACGGACTGAATCGGAAAGAAATCGCCATTTTGTGCACTGGCTGTACCATTCCGCCATTTTGAAATTACCCGCCAAAGGGGAATGCCGCTGACGAAAGTCAATGAAGTCTCAATCCAAGAAACAGGGGAATAATGAAAAGAGACGAAAGTGCGTATGATAATCGTCATCATTTTAGCAATGTTTGGGGACGACTATTTTAGTGAAAGATAAATTAAGAAAACAAGCGAACAACAGAGCAGAAAGAAAAAAAAGAAGAGAAATTAAAACAGAAAAAATGATGAGAAAGTATGATAAGATAAAAATAACAGTCCAGTCCAGTGACAACTCTTTCGGTTTCCAAGTTGATGATTGCGAACCCATCTCATACCGTTATACATACGTACTAGGTCATTTGATATTACAGAATACGCTATTAATAACGAGAGAAGAAACCACGTGATACTTGCACCAGCTATGACGCTATCCTATGTTAACCCTTTCTTGCTTTGCCCTCTAGTTCACCGCACAACTGCATGTATGAAACCTTTTCCTACTGTTAACCTTCCTCACTTGACACTCTGTCTTGCAGGCCTATTAGACAGATGGATGGCATCACACTTATGGACTTTGGTTTTAATTCAGCTAACTTAACTTTCTTTCCAATGAAATCTCTACTAACCTTTTTCTTCGCAGGGTACATGAAACCTAACACTGGACCTCTTTATTGAAACACGATTGAATTATTGAAATACAACATTTATTAAATCTCAATCCCCACACCCACAATCATCAACTTCACCGAGAATCGAACCACGGTCTTCCGGACTGAAGTCCGGTGCTCTATCCACTGAGCTAACTGGAACGACAAGTAAAACTGATCTCAATTGTGTATTTAACGCATTGTTGTGTTCTATGAACATGCTTACGTATGCGTCATAGGATAATGTATGGTGTTTTGTTCCCTAGGGACTGGAGCTAATGAGTAGTTCTTTTGCCAAAGCAAAGTCGATGTTATAAAGCACAATATACATGATTAGTGCTTTTACTCATAAGTAATGAGAATGTCTCGCAACGGTGTTTTAAACTGCAAAATTGTCGAAGCATTCTTACACGAAACAAGTCGATGCGCGTCGTCCTACCTTCGCACTGGTATTACCATTTAAGTTTCTGGGGAGATTTGCAAAGTGTAGCAATGGTTGTGTTGTCAATAAATTGCACATGCAATAACAGAGTACATAAATCAGAGGGGAAAGCTGCTGGAGATGTGCAATGATCAGAGAGTAGGGAGGTGAGAGTAGCTGAGAAGATTGACCGCATAGTGTCAAAAACTGCGCGCTTTGAACTTGTGAAAAATTCGATGTAAATATTCTGTAATTTTAATTTACATCGTATTCCCATTAGGTACGGTCCATTTAACTTTTGAGGGGGGGGGGGGGGGGGGGGGGKGGATGATTTCTTGTGAGCAAGATTTTTTTTTTCTTCGTGGCTTTTGGGTAGGATATATATTTTTTTCTTTTGGTGGTGTGTAGGATTTTTTTTCTTCTTGTATGTAACATTTTTTTGGGGCTTAGGGTGGTGCAAGATTTTTTTTAGGTCCATATGTTGTGCGCGATTTTTATTTTTGGTGAAGGTGGCTTACAAGATTTTTTTTTTCAAAATCATCCACCCCCCTCCCCCCCTCAAAAGTTAAATGGACCGTCCCTTATATGTACAGCGTTCCAAGCGCGTAATTTTTTCCAGTGTGTACTAGATGCAACAGTACCTCTCCGTATAAAAGAGAAGGCTGTGAAAATTAAAGAAATCTATTTACTTTACAATGGTAGATGGTTGATCCAGTACTCATGCAGCTCTCTCTATATTGGAGTCCTTCCCCAGCTACAAGGCTCAACAACGCCGTCCTTTACGCTAGAACTGTCAAAAAAAAAATGAGCTGAGGATACCTTTGGAACTCAGTCAAAACCTGATCAAGGTATTACTGCAAGCATACCGCCTCATGACGTCAAAAATGCTAATTCAATTTTTTTTCTTTTATTTCGCCTTTTTAAGATGTTAAAAAAAGTTTTCTTTATTAAGCTATCGTTCACATATAAAGTAATATTAATGCAGTTCCAAGTTTTTGGATCGCGAACATGTGATCCTATACCTTGTAATAGCCTCTTCGCGCTAAGAAAACAAGTTGCGCTGGAACCTGTGGCAGTTTGCAAAATTGTGGCTGTCAAAGCCGCCGAATCGCACACGGTAGCCCGGGGACAACAATGGGCGGATCAAGGGATTTCGGAATCCCTGAAGCCTATTCCTCATTCAAAAAAATACAAATAAATTGATCAAAAAAGTCAATCCAGTATCGCGATATTTCAGCTCTACGCAGAATATATGATCAGGGCCGGCATTTAACATTATATGATCCATATATAATGTATATTAATTAATGACCATTATCTTTGATACAACCTAGACAACAGAAAGAACACTAGTTAATACTCTTGTAGCTCACTTTCTCCCTTCGAAATCTCACAAATTCTGAACGATACTTACCTTATTTGTTCGCGCTTGCTGTTCCTAGACCTATTTCTAAGGATGTTAGGACCTCCCTTTTTGAGTTTTAGACCTATGTATATCTTTATATTTCCCTTTTAATTAGCCGAATTGGTTGGGTTGGGATATTTGGGAGAATGCCTATTTTGCAACTATAAATTTCGCTTTTCACTGATTCAACTGACTAATAGCGCTCGCACTTTATATTCTATATATTATATCTATGGTAGCTATGTTTTTCTATTTTTGCTTGTTTATTGTCGGATTTTACTATGTTCATTTTGGAAATAATTTCAACTATTTGGATAGGCTATTGAGGAAGATGAAGTAATAGAAAGAATTCTCACAATCACGTTACAATCATTTACACTATCACTCAATATTCCCGATCAATATTCCCGCTTTGAGCTTCGAACCGCGAACCTCCAGACTGAAGTCTAGCGCTCTAACCAACCGAGCTAACTGGATCGACGAGTGAACTTGTTGACAATTGAATATTTGAATGCGGAAATAATTAATGAATTATTCATGATATTCCGGATTTGACAGGGTGTTTCCCAAATTGAAGGAATGACTTTAAAATTTTTGAGAAAGGTTAATGATCAGATTTAGATATCATTTTTTTTAGGACATATACATATGCTGAAACTGATTGCTAAAACTTTCAAAATTCTTCTGATTGAAGATGGGAGACTGACGAGCTAGTACTTCTCTATGTATAATGTTTTGATAGTTTAGTCCAAAGACTGGAAATATGTTTTTCATAATCGATCGACGTTAGCAGAAATTTCGGGATTTCAAGGATTTCGCATAGTTTTTTCCAAATTTAATGTATCCAATAATCAACATTTAAATCATTACGTCGAGTGATAATTGTCTACTTTCGATATCTTGCCAGTTGACGAATCACGTGCAAAAGGATTGAAGACGAGGCATCGAGAACCCAGAGCCTCGTATTTCTTTTATGCGTGCCGACCATTTCACTGGAATTTGTTCCAAGTGCTATAGAACAGTGGTTTTTCAACGTTGCAGGGCTACTTTCATGTTGAATATGTAGTGGAGTCAAGAGTGTTTATCAAGAGTCTTTTTTGACAATTTGGCAAGCAGTGGAATCCGCGGGTCGCGCATATTTTTTTCCTTTTCGTCCTTTCCATTCTCCGCTCAGATCGGGAGGTACTCCATCCCCAACTTGAGTGGGGGTGTGCCGCACGACCCTCAAAACCCTTACCCTATCCCAGACCAATTTTTGTGATTTTAAATACCCTACCCCAGACTAAAGGTACATTATTTTATCGCTGAAAGCGTGAACTAGCAGATACGATAACAGGCAAAACTCCACCCTACCCCAGACAATGAGACTATACCCTATCCTAGACAAAAAAACTACCCTATCCCAGACAAAACTACTACCCTATCCCAGACAAAACTACTACCCTATCCCAGACAAAAGTACAAAAAATGATACCCTATCCCCCTCCCCCCCGGGTACGCAGCCATATGCACAGTTGCACACAGCCATCATCTAAACAAAAACGACGTGGCAGCTTTGACCTTGTCTGATGTAAAACATAAGCTCTTCATCTTTAGTCTTATTGGTTCAAAAATTCTGCAAAACCATTCTCAAACAAAAAAGTATAAAAATATTGCTTCTAAACGCGGTGTTGGTATCCAATTACACAAACGACGATGCTAGCTTGTTAAGTTTAATATTATCAAGCTTGTTCATACATAATTAGTGGTGTATTTCTAAGTGGCAATATTAGGTTTTCTACTCTACTTAATAATACCTACAGTCAGTAGGTTCATTGAAGAGTATGGTGTATGAAAGATTATGATAATATATATTATATAATGATACACAAAATAGATTCAAACACCAATAGTGTGCAATAAATACCACTGCAAAATTTTACCACTATATAATGTTAAGTTTTGCACACACTCAGCGCTTGTACTGTTTTGATTATCATTACTTATTACAGCTGCCCTAGAGTTAATGCACTTAATAAATTGTGAAATTGTACAAAATGAAATAGTACAAAATTGCTCTAGTTCTGCAAATGAAGCTAAACACAAAATATTGCATTCACTCTGGCAGGGAGCTTTTAACATTTGCCTTTATCTAAAATTGCTGGTATATATTTTACATGGCAAAAGCTTTACATCTATTTGTCTATAAATGACATCACCACAGTGTAAATTATCCTTAGTCTAGTACAAAACATAAATACAGCATGTATCACACATGCAAACATGTATTGTGTGGCTTCAATCTAAGGGGAAAAAATGCTATGAATGCAAAAACCATCTTAACTTGCTATTTGTAAAATAATGCTATTGTAAAAATCTATTGCAAAAGCTATGTTTCAACATTTTCAAATAGAAAAAAAGATTTTCATGTTAAAATGAATTTGAGTAAAGTAAAACAGTTCTGATGTCCTTTTGCATTATAAAAGAAAAATGCAAAAGGTTTCTCTATTACCGACACAAAAGGATTGGGGTAAGAAATGTCAATTTTTTGATAATGATGGTATTAAATGATACATTAGCATAAATAATAGGATTTAAGGGAGGCTTTAGAGTATACAACAATAGATTATCACAAAATATTGACTAATATTCCCTAAGCCTCCTTTTCTCCTATACATTCTGCTAAGCAAGTTGTGCATCAAGATGATTTTATTTAAAATCATCTATTGCTGAGTTGATTTACTTGAAGTATGAATACATTTAAGAATATATATAACACCAAGCATGTTTACATCTAAAGTACATTAATAAACAATTGAATTATGCAACCTTTGCACCAGGGATTTGTTTAAGGACCTAAAAAATAACAAAGCGTTATTACTTTATACACTGCAATTGATAAATCAAAAACCATAAAATGTATCACAATGTAGTGATGAAATGCAAAATGGGACAGTGCAATCTATAGAGGCAGAGAGCATGTTTTTTTGAGAAGATAACACAAACTGACATTTTGAGGAATTAGTAAAAAATACGATATAAACTTCAGCATTTTTTCAAGTTTAGTCAGTGTTAAAATAGCTTTCTATGGCCTTTTTGTAGCCTGTGAGTGCCTTTCATGGGGTCATGCGGTCATTTGAACCGAAATACCTCATGGACCATATAATGTCCCCAAATAGGATCTAAATATGCATATTGTAACCTTTGCTGTTGCTGTCATACAATATATTAATTGACTAATTTATAATCTTACCTGTGAAAGGTCCACACCAGTCAGTGCCTGTACAGATGGAGGCAACTGTCCTAGGAGCTTGGACACCTCACCACTAACACTGTTACCATCATCATTGATAACAACAACATCCTCAATCTTTGACAGTGGTGCAGCTACCTCAGCAGCAAGCTTTGGAATAATGACAAAAACATTTAGAATGAGCATTTTTAAATTAAATTTTTAAAACACTTTCAATTTGTTTGATAATTCAAAGATAAACGGGCCAAAGTTTTCATAATTAATTAATATAATACAACTTTAAGACCAAAAAGAGTGGAAAATCCAAAAAAGAAAGAACACACTTAGACAAAACAACAACAACAACAACAACAACAACAACAACAACAACAACAACAAAAAAAAACACATGAAAAGTAGGTTCAGTTCTTGAAGTCAATTACACCAGACATATTTTTGTTGCTCTCTATATATTGAGAAATACACAGCTGAAGCAACACATTTGTCATTTTAATTATTTGCGGGCACTTTCGTGCTCAAGCAAAACATACTGCAACTGAAGACACAATGTTTGTCAGAAAAATGATGTTACCTTAGGCAGAGCTTCCAAGATAAGGGCTGTCATAGCAGCATCACCATACATCTTGTATGCAGCTGCCTTCTGCCTCATGCGCTCAGCTTCTGCCTTACCAATGGCTTCTATAGCATCAGCCTCTGAAGCACCAACTCTCTGTGGGAACAATGAAGTTATGAATGAACAAATCTTGGCTAGAAGTTATTGAGATTATACTCAAGAAATACAAATTAAACATCACCTTTATTCTTTCTGCATCAGCTTGAGCAACATAAACAGTTTCAGTTCTGAAAATATAAGAACATAAAAATGAACAAATTGTACAATGATCAAATGAAATAGGAAGAAATAAACAAAGCAATGAAATGAAAAAAATATTAAATGATGAAAATAAAAAACAAAATCACAGTAAGTTATATTATTTTGTCTTGACAGAAGACACAACATTTACTGTACCTGCGACCTTGAGCAAGAGTTTCAACCTTAAAGCTCTCAGCTTCAGCTGGTCTCTTGACATTAGCAATCAATTCCTTCTCCTTTCGCATGATTTCTTTCTCTTGAACCTCAATCTGTTTTCTTCTTTCAACAACTTCAATTTGGATTTCTTCTGACCTGATTTTTTGTTTTTCCTTTGCAGCCTTAAGACAATAATGAGTTTTATATTATTGATGTTCATGTGTGGAACATAGAGCGGATTTCGTATGACTGTGCAAAAAAACACGGTACGTTCGTGCTGTGTCCGTACCGTGCCGTAGCCGTGATGCATTGGAAAATCTTTACTTTCATTTGAAATCCTAGAAGGCGAGGTTCCGTGACCGTGACCGTGCCGTGCCGTGTCCGTGCTGTGATCCGTGCTTTTGCACAGTCATACGAAATCCGCTCTATTTTAACAAAAAAACATGATTCATTACAAGAACATTTCAGTGACCTAGAATATTTTGTTTAAATGTATGCTTTTGAACATACAATAGTCCAGTATGAGTTGATGTTTTTACAAGTAGAAATTAGACTCAGGGAATCTGATTTAAGTACTTAAATTGGACTCAAGACTTTAGGAAAGACAGGTATATCTTATAAGCACCTGTAGTTCATAGGACAATTCTGCTTCTGCTTTTCTTGTGTTGACTTCCTGGTCAAAGGCAGCCTTTTGCATCTGGTAATCCTTTGAAGAATCAGCAATGTTGGTTTGTGTCTGGTAAACAACATCCATCTTTTGTTTCTGGCACTCAGCTTCCTGAAAAACAGAATATCATGGTGGTTAATGAGAGAAGGAAGCTTTGAAAACTAAATAACAAACAAATGTTAGCTGGAATACAATGTTATTAAAAGAAAATAGACAAAAATCAATGAATAAAGAAGAGAACTTAGAAATGAGAGAAAAGGAAAGGAAAAGAAAGAAAATGTTTTTTTTTTTAATTTTTTCAAGTCCAACGAAGTCTGAACCTTGAGCTGGAATTAACTGTATGAACTTTGGACTTTTAATTCCAACAATGCAAAGAATACTATCCAGCCCAAAGCACATAAATGCTAAAATATTCCAAAACAAAAATACTTCTTTTGCTCATAATATATTGCTTTATCTATTTCTTGGAAAAGTAAATTAAATTTAAACAAAGTTATATCAATTTTTAAGCTGAAATTCATGTAAGGAATGAGATTGTATTTTTTTACTTGTATTTTCTCAATAACATACCCTGATACCAGCATCTCTGTTGGCCTCTGCTACACCAATATCAGCATCTCTCTTGACCTTAGCTGTCTGTGTTTTACCAAGAGAGTCTAGATACTGCACTTGGTCTACAATATCTTTGATGGTAAAACTCAGAATCTCAATACCCATTCTACCGACATCTGGTGATGCAACCTCTCTTACAAGGGAAGCAAAGGCCTCTCGATCTAAGAAAGAATATAGATAATTATCATTATGATAGAGATTATTATTGTTTTCATGAGGTGTCAATGGTAGATGTACAGTACAGTACAATAAATCATATAAAGGCTGATTTACATGGCAGGAATTTTGACTTATGACAGTAGTGTAAGATATGCCTACAAAATAATTGTGAAGCGTTATAGAATTGGACTATATAACACTATATAAATTGAATAAATTATTATATTACTATCATCAAAATGCTGTGTAGGCACCATTCAAATGAGCACAGGTCATTGCTAAACTAGCAATTTGATGGAAGAGATAATAGTCCTGGTACTAATTTGGGAAAAACATGATTTTTCCTAGGACTAGTTGTAGGATTTTGATCCTTGGCTAAAAACCATACTAGTATAACTCCTGAATCTTGTAAGTCAGTTGAAGGCTATAGTTATCATAGTAGAATTTACAAGGCAATGACTTGGAGCTCATTTAAGTATGCTACAAGTTGTGCACAACAATTGCATTTAATCTGCCTACATAAAAAATCAATGACAATAATATCTAATAAACTTTATTATTTTATGCTATAATCTTCTGTGTTGATGGGTTTAAATCAATATTAAACAGAGTGTCTAAACATCAGGCAGCCTGACGTTTAGTCCCAGAACTAAACATGAAGCAATCTATTTCTTTTTTTGAAAAATTGTCAGAACAACCGCAATTAATACAACAAGAGAAATGCAATAAAGACCAAAATAATACTGTTCGACAAGTTTGAAACAAACTAAATACTTTTTTTCTGATCTCTTTATACTGTAAACCAATTATTAATATTATTAACTTCCTATCAAATATACAAATGCTTAACCCTTCAAATTGAAGAAACAATGGTCCACTTATAGGCCCTGCACCATCATTCACTGGCTGCTTGGAGGCAATGATAAATTTTTGTGGTAATGGTTAAAGAAGAGGTGGGAGGGTCACAATAATTTGGTTATCTGATATAAGGAGGGTTAGAAAATTTCACTTCTGCTACTATGGTAGGTCATATTCCTCCTCCTCTCCCCCCTGCTAACTTCCAACAAGTCCCTCATTTCATTCTTTATTTCATTTCTCTTGTCCTATTGATTGAAATTACAGTTGTTCCGACAATTTTTTAAAAAAATTGATTGCCTGACGTTTAGTTCTGGGACTAAGCATTAGTCAATCGAAAAATCTCAAATTGCTTTGCTTGTGTATACAAACTTGTTGAAGAGTATTATTTTGGTCTTTATTCCATTTCTCTTGTTCTATTATAATTGAAATTGCGGTTGTTCCGACAACTTTTCCAAAAAAAAAGAATAGATTGCCTGACATTAAGTTCTGGGACTACATGTAAACGTCAGGCAATCGGATAATCTCAAAGTGCCGAACAGCATTATTGATCGTTTTCACCCATCCCCATTAGATTCAAAAGATAAAAGACTGGTGGCCATGTTGGAGGAATGAACAATAGATACTAATGAGCAATCCTTTGTTAAAGTTCCTCCAAGATGGCTGCTGTGATGTAACCTGAAAATGAAGAATTAATTGAAATTGCAGTTGTTTCGACCATTTTTAAAAAAAGAAATCGATCACCTGACGTTTATTTCAAACTCCGTTAATTAAAATGCATCAATTAATGCTAACATGCAATAATCCCAACCTTTATAGATTTCTTCCACAGTGAGAGTACCCAAGATGGCTCTCAAGTGACCTTCCAGTGTTTGAAGTACAACATTCTCAACTTCACGTGTAGATTTACCCAAAAACTGTTCACATGCTGTCTTCAAAAGACGGGGTTCTGTCATGATTTTAACCTGACAAACACCAGTTACTGTTACAGCTACACCCTGTGCTGTTTCCACAAGTTCACATCTTGGATTCAGTGTCATGACCTCAAGTGATATTCTGGAAAAACAAGACAAAAAACACAAAATTTACACAGTATTATTATCCAACAAGATGTTTAAATGAATCCAATTTTGTTCAACCACAAAATATTGCAATGAGGTTCAAACAGTTGGGTTTGTTTAACTTTAGATCTTAAAAATCAAATTATGGCCTAATCATCATAATCATGAGGATATAATTTATACAAACCAACCCCTGGAATATAAACTATAGTTCACTGATCTGGTTGTCACTTCCTGTATTTATATGGTGTTTGAGTAATCAAAAATAGAAAATTCAGTCCAATCTTTAATACATTCTTTTTGTTGTTTTCGAAAATAAAAACATTCCCTAACAATGTGCAGTTTTATATCACATTGAAATGGATCGATTTAAAACTTAAAGATCGCTATAAAAACAAAGAGTTCATATAAACATCAATAAAATGCATATGGGATGGTTATTTTGGATTATATAACGTCATTCAAGTTGCTAAGTGAAGTGTTGCAGAGTTATAAAAAAACTAAGCTTATTTTTACTTTAAAATTATACAACACGGTTAATAATCGATTTAATATGACCAAAATGAAATAATATGTACATTAATGTGGATAAAATTATTACTATTTCTCATAATTTTAGTAATTTGATCTATATTAAACAAAGGGAAGGAATTTCAAGCTCACGAAACGTAAGACACTTACGACTGTACATCGCTAACACAAGCCCAAGCCCATGCATATCCTCCCCTGACAGTTTTCTTGTTATCTGCACCACAACATCCACCTTTAATGAAAAGAAAAGTCAAACATCTCGTGTCGAAAACAGGTGGTAGAGACGAGTTAAAATATGGAGGGTTCAACTGCTTAGTATGCAATCATGCACAAAGGAAAAGATCTTAAAAAGGGAAGTCTTTCACGCGTCTAAACATGATGTTTCCAAAGATTAATAAAGGAATAAAGCTTCAACATTATTTATAAAGATGAAATTGGGCAAAAGAAATCAAAATTAATGCAACCACGTCGACGAGTAAGCTTACAAACACGCAGAACGAAATAAATGACAACAAAATCTCCATGACACATCACAAAACACCGTCAAAATCGAAGTTTAAAACATGGATAGAACATTACCAGAAACAATTAAAGCTTCATTAGGTCCCACTGCGTAACAGTTTCCCATTTTGCTTTACTCTTCTGCAGAATTTCCTGTTGATCTTAGGGAAAAGGGAAATGGAGGTTGAAGATCAATAGAAAGCTGGTTGAAAAACACTCCTCCTTTCGACCCGACCCAGGCTACCTATCAATGAATTACGTATATCGACCAAATTCACCACAGGAATTCCAATTTTGAAATGAAGTCACAAAGGCCGTAAAAGCAAATGTTTAATTTTACACACTGTTTATGTACTGTTTCATTTTCTCCTGTAACATTTTGCATTGCATTTGTTTTTTTTTAATAAGAGAACTAGTTATTTTCCATTTTTGATGTCTAGATAGAGTGCAGTGGGAGTGGAAAAAAACTTGGTCTTGACACACAATAATTGTAGGGACTGAGGAGTACTTTTCAATCAACTTTTTCAAACTTCTTTGACTTTGAAGAACTCCAAAGTCCTCTGCATCCAATGGCATATCCAGGATGGGCGGAGGGGGTCCTACATACCAAATTAATGTCACTTTAGCTTCACATGACCTCAATATGTCATATCAAGCACTTTTTTGACTTTGAAAGGTAGGGGTCACAGGCACTGTGTGACCCTCCCTGGATACACCCTTGGCATCTGATTTCAAGGTACTGCAATCGCATGAATAATCATGAAATATAGTTCAAACCATTAGATACAAATGCTAATATATGACTATAGTTTTGCACTTTTATTAAACCAATATGAATGTTTATAATTTTATTTATTTGCAAGTACCTGTAAGAACTTTAAAGGATTTTTTTTAAAGCTCAAATCAGGAACTATATATACAGCTAAAACCAAGCTCTTTCCTATCAAGGAACCTGAGACTCAAAGAATTTTTTAATCTCCAAATTGAACCATTATACATTTATTACCCTTATGGGCCAGATTGGAAAAAAGCTTTGCTTTATTTATTATCATACCTTTATTTATAAAGGGTTATAATTATTATATATCAAAATGTTTAAAATAGCTGCAATCAATTACAAAATTCTCCCTACATTGTTTCTAAAGGGGAAGTTTTAAGCCCTCAATGAGAGACTTCCATTAATTCAATGCTGAACACAAAAGGGCATTATTTTGGTATAATAAATATAGTACATATTTTAATATAATAATTTATATGATTCTATTACATAGGAATATCCCTATTCAAGATTTAAAAGCTATATAACCAATAAAATTGTTCATGTGTAAATCCACAGTTTTTTTGATAAAAATAATCTACAAGTCAATAAAATTGGATTTGACTATAATGTTGACGCTGTGACTTTACTAGTTGAAGGTTGAGCATTCAATGGTTTTGGAAATGACTTGCTTGGTTAGTTATACTAAAAACAAACTGCTGGCATCCCAACTTAATGTAACTCCCATGGCGCAACAGTGCTGTGCCTTCCCAGCCTGCACCACTGCTTCCTATTAAATTTGAACTGCTAGTTGTACAGTTACATTGATTTAGATATCTTTTGGACACCAAATCCTACAGTTCTACAAGTGACTTGAGAACCTTTTCTGGAGTTAAACCAGTTATATCAATTTTCAAGCTGAAAGTCGTGTAAGGAATAAGATTCTGTGTCAAATCATTTCTCCATACATCATAAACTACTCATCACTTTATCTCATTATGTTTCTTTGTTTTCCTCTGCTACACGAATATCAGCATTTCTCTTGACCTGCTGTCTGTGTTTTACTAAGAGAGTCTACAATATCTTGGTCTACAATAATATCTTTGATAACAAAACTCAGAATCTCAATACCCATTCTACCAAGGTCTGGTGATGCCACCTCTCTTACAAGGGTAGCAAAGTTGTCTCGATCTAGGAAAGAATATATAGACAATTACTATTATATATCATAGAGATTGTGATGATAATTTCAGAAAAAAAGAATGACAGCCTTCCTCTGTCAATTATTTTAATATGGTAATATGTATATAGTTTAATATGCATAATCACTGTTTTTGCATTTTTTAGCTTTTTTTCTAAAATGATAACAATTTCTGGATGTTGGAGTTCTAGAAGTAGTATAAAGAACTCAAGAGTGTGTTTTATCGGGACTAAAGACCCTCGCCTTCAGCTCGGATCTTTATCACCTGATAAAACACACTGTTTCGTTCTTTCATTTTGTCAACGTAGTACCAAATTTGACCTACGACTGTTGTACACAATTTGTAGGTACCACTCACATGTGCACAACATCTGTAAACAATTTGTTCATTTCATTGGCTAAACTCGCAATTTGATAAAAGAATACTTACAGTCATATCCTACAAGTTGTGTATGACAATACTGAATTGAGTAAATCTGCCTTATAAATAACTAATATCAATAAATATTGATAATAATGATATTTAAAAAAACTCTATCATATCTTATTCTATATTAATCTGAGTATGTTGATGGGATTAAATGAATTAAAATGCAATGAATTATTGCTAACATGCAATAATCCCAACCTCTATAGATTTCTTCCACAGTGAGATTGTACAAGACGGCTCTCAAGTGACCTTCCAGTGTTTGCAGTACAGCATTCTCAATTTCACTAGTAGATTTGCCCAAGAACTGTTCACATGCTGCCTGCAAAAGACGGGGTTCCGTCATGATTTTAACATGACAAACACCAGTTGCTGTTACAGCTACTCCCTGTGCTGTTTTCACAAGTTCACATCTTGGATTCACTGTCATGACCTCAAGTGATATTCTGGGGAAAAAAGACAAAAAAGACAAAATTTACACAGTTTACATCACAACCTTCAATAATTTTCAAAACTGACAACCATGAATTATTTAAAAGCACAAAAAAATGCTGTTAGCGCAATAAAATATTTCTTGCAGTTTTTCCAAATGGACAATGAAAAATTGGATAACTATTATATGGATGTTGCAGGGACAGCATTAGATTATGGCTTGGTTTGTTTTTGGTAATTCAATAAGTTAAGTATTGGTCTCAATGCACACATCATTTCTGCATCCACTTTGGCACTAATGATCGCTACTGTAATAGTTTTCCAGTGAATCCAACATGCATGGTATGGCTTGCTGATCAATAAAAAACAAAAATACTGGAAGTGTTAAGTTTGATCTGAACATTTGACAATGTCCTCAATTATCTAACAAGATGTTTACAATGGATAAAACCTATTTTGGCCAACCACAAAATAATATCCATTACAATGAGGTTCAAAAAGTTGGATTTGATTAACTAATAATAGATCTTAAAACATCAAATTATGGCCTAGTCCTCATAATCAGGTGGTAATTTATACATTTTGGAACATTTCTAACAATGTGCAGTTTTATCACTTTGAAATGGGTAGATTTAAAACTAAAAGTTCACATAAATATTAATCAAATGCATAACTTCATTAAAGTTGCTAAAGTGAAGAGATTAGGGATTAAATGTCCCTCAGCCTCGGGCAGATAAGTAAAAGTCCCTCTGGCCTGCAGCTATCTGGACTTCAACTTATCTGCCCTCAGCTTCGGGGACATTCCATCTCTAATCTCCCTCAGAGCCATGCTATTACTTATAATAATTTGATCTTATAAAAAACAAAGGGGAGGAAGTTCAAGCTCACGAAATGTAAGAAACTTACGTTTGTACATCGCTAACACAATCCCAAGCCCATGCATACCCTGCAATGACAACTTTCTTGCTATCTGCACTACAACATCCACCTTTGATAAAAAGAAAAGTCAAACATCTCATGTCGAAAACAATGTGGTATAGAGTAGCGTTTAATAAACAAGCACATTTGGCATCCCACATCAAATGTGCATGAAGTAATCTACTAGAAGGTATATTTGTTGTTTGACTTTAGACCGTTAAAATTCCTTGCTATATGGGTATGTGCAGCAGGATAGGGTCCCTTTTTCCCGGGGGGACTCTTTTTCCCGAGGGGGGGGGGACTCCCTAATATCAAAGGGCGGGGATCCTTGGCATCCCTTTTAGGGTTTGAAATCGGTATTTTGATCCCGCTTAGGGTGATAATGACGAGAATTCCCACCAACATAATTTCTGTGGTCCCTCTTAGGGTATACAATGTCCCTAAGCCGTCATTATCTGTATGCAACCTCAGACTTTGTTCAGACCTCAAAAATCACATTTTGTGTGTTTAAAAAGCCATTTCTGTATCAAAACACCTGGCCATCTTGGTTACAGATTTCTAAATGCCCGTATGTTTACAGAAAAAATAAGTGACCTATTAACTAGTCCACCTCACCTCACACACCATCATCTATCTAACTCCTATAACTCTTCGATTGCTTCGCAATCTTCGAGTTAAAAAATGGTTTGGAATAGGGTAAGAGTTTTGAGAGTACAACCCGGGTTAAAATTCAGCATTTGGTCAAAGATGATTGAGATATTAAACCTGACATCTCTGCTAGGATCTTTTATATGATAAATGTTATATTATTTAGTATTCTTTACATAAAGAATACTAATAAGTATGACCTTTTTCAGATATAAAAAGGCCATGCATGTGACCAAATAGGCTTATCGAATTGGCCTATTAACTCATTTAAAACTCATCAATAATAATGATAAGAAAATATAAAGGGTATTACATGTAAAGCTCACATGCAATCATGCACAAAGAAAAAGATCTTAAAAAGGGAAGTCTTTCACAAGTCTAAATATGATATTTCCTGTTAGAATGCTCTGTTATATGATATTTTATGTTAGATATGCTCTGTTATATGATATTTTATGTTGTATTGAAGAAACACTTTGGAATTTACTCCTATATCATAGATTAGGGATGTAGGTAAACCATAATCTCAATTAAGACTTATCTGTAAAAACGTGATTTCCTTTGTATTCACACCCAAATATGTATTCTTATATATACTAGAGGATTTATTAATAACGTTTAGTTGTTACTCCGAATGGTGAGACATTATATTTGCCACGATGACACAAAACTTAACATTTCCAATGATTATAAAAGAATAAAGCTTCAACATTAAAAGGTGAAATTGCGCAAAAGAAATCAAAATTAATGCCACAACGTTGGCGAGTAAACGCAGAACGAAATATAAAATGACAACCAAATCCACAAGAAACATCACAAAACGCCGTTAAAATCAAAGTTTAAAACATGGATAGAACATTACCTGAAACAACTAAAGCTTCATTAGGTCCCGCTACGTAACAGTTTCCCATTTCGCTTTACTCTTCTGCAGAACCTCTATAAGGGAAAAGGAGGTTGAAGATCGAACACTTCCGTTCGACCCGACCCAGGCTACCGAACAACGATCTCGAAAACCACAGGAATTTCAATTTATAAGACTTAAAATACCAAGCAAAACTACTCGATGGGCTGTTATTTGGCACGGAAAGCCAGTTAAAGATTATTTGCAAATAAAATTTGCTTTTCCTTCGCTAAATAATTTTAACTTGATCTGCAGTTATATATATGACCTCTTAAATAAAGCATTGGTCCGCCCATCTGGTAAATCAACTTTTTCAAACTCCTTGGACTTTGAAGAATTTCAACATACTGTTGTCTAACTAATCTTAAAGTTCAAACTTTTACATATAAATGCTATGGTTTTTGCACTTCAAATATGAAATCAAATATGTTTATAATTTTATTTATTCACAAGTGCCTTTGTTTCTAAAGGGCTATATATACATTAATAAAAAGTTTAAAATAGTTGCGATCAATTACAAAATTCTCCCAACAATATTGTCACTAAAGGAGAACTTAAATCTTAATCACCAGTTTTAAGCCCTTTATAATGAAAGACTTTCATTAATTCAATGCTGAGCACAAATTTGAATATTGAAAAGGGCATTATTTTGGTATAATAAATATAGTACATATTGACAATAATTTACATGATTTTGATATATAAGAATATCCCTATTCAAGATTCAAAAGCTTACCAATAAAATTGTTCACGTGTAAATTCACGAGAAATAATACATAAAATACTCTTTTCTTACAAAAATAATCTGCAAGTCAATAAAATTGGATTTGACTATAATGTTGACGCTGTGACTTTACTAGTTGAAGGTTGAGCATTCAATGGTTTTGAAAATGACTTGCTTGCTTGGTTAGTTATACTAAAAACAAACTGCTGGCATCCCAACTTAATGTAGCTCCCATGGTGCAACAGTGCTGTGCCTTCCCAGCCTGCACCACTGCTTCCTATTAAATTTGAACTGCTAGTTGTACAGTTACAAGATTTAGAAATCTTTTGGACACCAAATCCTACAGTTCTACGAGCGACTTTAGAACCTTTTCTGGATTCAGCTGATGAAATAAGTTTTGATTTTGAGACCTTTTTTGGGTCAAGGTCTTTGGATGAAGTTACACTGTGTGATGGCTTGTCTGAGAAGTCACATGAGTACAGAACATTGTCAACGTATGTGCCATGCTCGCTGTAATTAATCAGTTCATATTGATTTGATGTCTAAAACAAGAAAAATAGAGAAAATCAGTCAATAGAAACATTTCATCTACAGTATGAATGTATTGACAGAACTATGGCTTATTCAAAGTCGCATCAAATGAAGCCAAAATAGTACAAAAAACGTCATGTGGTCCATGAAAACTGTAGCCAAATATTCCACAATTTGACTAGAAGTACAAACCTCATCATAGAATATGCAGCAGTGTTTTTCTGATACAAAGTTACAGTGACTGTAGTGCTGTAGGCAGACATCAGTATCAATACCTGTAGGAAGACCAGGAAGGCAATATAATGAGAGAAATCTTATTGACTGCTTTTGCTACTGTCAATTTGTGAGACATTGCTAACTTTCATATCGTGAAGGACCTGGGTACAATCATAATTAAGATAGCAGTAATTGTGACTGTCCTGTTATTGACAAATTTAAATCATCCAATCAGTGTGTGAGAATTCCAAGTGATGTGTTTCACAAGTATCTGCTTTTTTACTTTTTGCTTCATTTGGAATTCCTGTGTAGTGACAAAAAGATGACTGTGGGGGGAGAGGAGAGGACAAAAGTGTCTAGCTCCCAGCTTTTTCCACAGGGAACTCAAGGAGAGAAAARGCAAACTGTTTTCTAAGGAGGAGGCCAAAATACTTGAGAAATATTATTGGCTGAAGGGATAAATGTCATCAAGGTGAATGTTGCACAGTACCTCTTCCTAAAGAAAGACATTTATGAACCATTGGCATTGCTGGACCAGTTCCTGTCAGTGGACACAGAACAGCTATTGATCTTCCAGGCGTCACTAAACATGAGAAATATATATTAGTTAAAGACAAACAAATTCAAATATTTCATGACATGTTTATAGAGATTACTATAAACAATGACTGGTAGGTAAAATGTGAAGTAATATAATTTTCATTCACACAAGGTATCCACAAATGTTATATTTAGCATAAAGGACACAAAACATCTTACCAGTGAGATGAGGTGAGATGGGTTCTTTGAGTCCATTGAAAGTTATTTTCCTTGATGCCACAGGACTTGGTGGAACAGGCTACAAATACACCAAAATAATCAAATAATTGCTATCTCCATTGGGCGCTACCCAGTCTCCTTAGGGCCACTACTCAGGCTTTAACTACATATTGTACTGAGCAAACTTGAAGTCATTATTTTGACATTTGTTGTGAATATTGGTGAATAGTGCTTCCTTTACAAATGCTTGAATCCATTAGTACAGAAGAATTAGCTACAAAAAATACTGCTAAATAAATACCTTGGCTTGAGTGAGAAGCTGCTGAAGTCTTTGAAACGCAAGGACTTGAATGAGTCTTGAATCAAGTTTATTTAATTCTGAGACCAAAAAAAAAAAATGATCACCTACAAGAAGCAATACATTCCTACAACTATTTCAAGATGCATTTTTAAGGTTCATTTGTATGAACGCAAAAAGGAACTTACAAAAACAGTAAATTGCAAATCAATACTCTTGATTATAAGGTTCATTTGTATGAACACAACAAGGAACTTACAAAAACAGTAAATTGCAAATCAATACTCTTGATTATAAGGTTCATTTGTATGAACACAACAAGGAACTTACAAAAATAGTAAATTACAAATCAATACTCTTGATTATAAGGTTCATTTGTATGAACGCAACAAGGAACTTACAAAAATAGTAAATTGCAAATGAATACTCTTGATTATAAGGTT